TGGAGCTGGCGGTTTGCGCGGCAAGTGCGTTTAGCTGGTCGCATGTGTTCGGGGCGCGTGACGGGTGGAAAGACCGCTCACCAGCAACTGGCAGTCCCCTGCCCGCGGGCCAGAATAATCGTCGCGCGCTCGCAACGGGGCGTGGGTAAGCGGGTTGGGAAGAGAGCGCGAGTCTCATTCCCAAAAAGTCCATTCGATAGGCAGCCAACAGCCCTTTTTCTTCTCATCTGCCGCGCGGCCAACCGAACGAACGAACAACTGTCTCGGCGCGCCGTGTTAATAACGCTTGCGCGCATCCTGGCTTCCTTCTGTTGCTTCCTTCGCGTCTTTCTTGCCCTCCTCTTCTTTTTCCTTTGCCCCTGCTTTGCCTTGTCCCGCCCCCCCTTCCTATCCAGCTCGGAGCTGTCGCCGCGCGCGAGGAGCGCAACCCAAAGGGCGTTGCTGCAATTCCTTTGTGTACCACGAAGTCGCGCGCAATTCCCTTGTGCGCGGTCTGGTTAAACTGCCGGCGCGGGGGGCACGCAAAGGAATTTCCTTTGTGTGCGACCGTTTTCGCCGCCCCCACAAGAGCATGCGCGATTCCTCTGTGTAGACCTTGCTTTCCCGCCTCGAGGAACGCACGGGGCCTGGCGCTGCAATCGCAAGGCCGCGGCGCCTGGCAGTGCGATGTAGTTGCGCCGGATACCGCGCCCAAGCGATCCTGCGTGGATGTCGGCTCTTTTGCCGAAATCGCGTTGGCAGCTGGCTAGCCACGTCGCTGGCCCTGCATGCCCGCGCGCGCGACTGCGCTTCGTTGCCGCGACGCGTGTTGCTGTCAACGGATGAACAAGCTGACGTTGCACGGTGGTCTGGCTGTGCCAAACCACCATGGAATTCTAGTTGGTAGCGGATTGGGGGATTTTGTCGCAGCCGACAGCCTTGCCACACCGTACATGTCAACTGCATCCTAGAGCGCGGCCGTGCATCAACCCTGGTTCGGATCGCTGGGGATCCAGTAGCATGTGTGCGCATGCGTTGCACCGTTGGTGGTGCCAAAACCCTTTGCGTGAAATTCCTTTGTGTGTTTTTCCGGCTCCTACACTCACTGGAATAACAGGCGCTCCAACGGCGCTGAGATCAACGCCAAGATGCAGTCGTACGCCTCCAACTTCAAACCGATCACGGCTGATCAGAGGGACGGCAACAACGACCGACTACTCGCGCCGAAGGAGATGCGCCAACTCCGAGGTCTACATCGGCGCTACGAAAGTTTTGACCCGTTTTGTGTTTTCAGTAAACAACGCCTGAGCACCACATTGGTTATGAACACCGCGACGGCCGCGTGCATCATTCCATAGCCTGAGAGCACCACAGAACCTATGGGCAGCCGAGCAGCCGAGCGCCGAATTCTGTTTTGGAGGAAGTCATGGGCGGGAGCGAAATTTCGAGTTCGAACGGAACAAATGCCGAATTTCATTTTGCAGGAAGTCCTGTGCGGGAGCGCCATTTCGTAATCGAGGCAGAAAGTTTTCGACAAATATGGTTTGAGGAAGTCCTGTGCGGGAGCTCCATTTCGAAATCGAAGCAGAAAGGTTTCGAATTCTATTTTTGCGGAAGTCCTAGGCGGGGGCGCCATTTCGAAATCGAACCCGCAAGTGTCGAAATCGTTCGAAATCGTTTTTTTTTTCTCCGAAGAACTATCAAACGAAACCGCCGTGCCGAAATGGCCGCGCCGTTTGGCATTACATATTTTCAAAACCCTGACCCGAAAACTCGAAAATGCAGTTTTCGCTTAGGACTTCCCCCCCCCCAAAGCGAGCTCGACTGGATTTCGGAACCCTGGGCTCGATTTCGAAATGTGGCTTTCGCCTCGGACTTCCCCCCCAAAACAAGCTCGACTGGATTTCGAAACCCGCGGGCTCGATTTCGAAATGGCGGCGCCGCCCGAGACTGGAGCGAAAAATGCTTCAAGCGAACATTGCTGGGGCCCCGCGGCCTAACGGGCCCGCTGCCAACGTTGTGCTGGGCCCCGTCGCCTAACGGGGGGCGTTGAATTTTGGCCGAACTTTCGTAGCGGCGAAGTATTTGGAGCTCTACAGTGGCCAGGTTCGCAAGCGCGCCCACGCGCGTCAGCCTCGGTCAGCATTCATCGGCGACGGCGGCGACAGCAAGAGAGGTAAATGAGACGCTCGGGTTCTACAGGCAGAACGCGGTCGTCGGTCTCAAGATGCAGAAGATTGGCAAGGTCAGCGACGTCGTGTTCGTGGCGATGACGGACGCAGCTTGGGGAATGCGACGCGACGGATCTAGTCATGGAGGGTATGTCATTATGGCATGCCACGAAAGTACATGACGGCGAGGATTCGGATTTCTGCGTTGGCGATTTGAAGGAAGTCTATCAGGTTGGCGAGACTAGCCAGGTCATCGCGAACATGCAGAATCCCAATCAGCGGCAGCAGGCGTGAACGCACCAGAATTTGCGAAGCGATTCTGGGCGCCCCTCGTCTACGACAACGTGACCGTCAACGTTGACGAGGGCGCGCGCTACGCAGGAGAGCCAGCACTCGCGCTCGATGCGAAGGCTCTCTACGACGCAGCCAAGAATAATATCGCCAGCTTCCAGGACAAGCGCGCTGGCATCGAGGTATTGGCACTGCGAGAACGGATGGATGCTACGCAGACGCAATGGAAGTGGACTTCATCAGATCGGCAGTATGCCGATGGTCTCACGAAGTTAGCGGCAAGGCAACTCTTCGCAGACAGACTTCGAGCTGGGCGACTTCAGCTACAGCACGACCCTACCTATGCGGCAGCCAAGAAGAATACCAAGGAGAAGCGACAGGCTATCAGCAAGAACAGATGGAGACGTCGTCAGCTACCAAGGCGAGATCACCACTCATACAGTCGGCAGTTTTGTGCGACGTGTTGTTGCAAGTTAGCGTCAACTTGCGCTCCAGTGTTCGACTGCCACGCAGAGTGCAAGTACTACTATGACGAGATCGTGAAGTGTTCGTGCTTCTCTGGAGGCATCTGGGGTGCATTAACATTTACTATGACTGGAATGGCAGTGGCAGTTCCAGCAGTCTACAACATATTGCGAGAGTCCATGGAGCATCGAGACGACTCCAGTATGAAGTATCAGACAGAGACCAGCGACAATCATGAGACGACAGAGGAGACAGTGGCGACCAGCATCGACAAGGAGACGACCATTCACCTCAAGAAGACGAGCAGCAACCACACGCAGGTGCGACGGCGGACGGCCGGCGTACAGAGTATGATTATTTACCGGTTGCAGGGAGATCAGTGGCGATTCTGTCACAAGAGGAATGGTTTCAAGCGAGCAGGCGAGTTTTCAGTGGAGACGACTGAACCCAACCAGTGGCAGGACGGCTACGATCGGGCAGCAGACGACAGCCCCAAGAGCTGCAGTGAGTGAGCCAACGCACCAGCGCAGTTTCAGATGAGTTCCGTTGTACGTTCAATGTTATATCCAGTTTTGCGCGTCATATGCCCCTTGCAGACGCGGGTTTGCACTTCGTATTGCTGCAGGTTTTGGTTCATGCAGTCTTCCGCAGCTTGTGCAGAAGATGTTTAAGGTGTTTACCAGTGGAGTTTCGGACTTCACATGTGATATTGAAGGAAGGCTTTTCCCTTTTCAACTTTTTATACGTTCACGGGTGCGATATATACGCTGTACATCTGGTGTATTGTGCAGAGCGCGATTGTAACATAGCGAGCGTACTGTTACGTTTTGGCCCACACCTTGCGGGACCCTTGCGCCGAGCGCGCCAGCGGTGTGAAGAGATCATCATATGGTCTTTTTTCCCTACCTAGGCTCTGCCTAGAAGGGTTCTTACTTTCTTTGCTAAAGGGGGCGGGCAATGGAACCCACCCCGGGCGGTTCCCCCAGTTGCGCCCCCCTGGTTCCCCCAGTTGCGCCCCCCTGGGTTCACCCAGTTTAGCTTAGCTAAGCTTAGCTTAGCTTCGCTTCGCTTAGCTTTAGCTTAGCTTAGCTTAGCTTAGCTTAGCTTAGCTTAGCTTAGCTTAGCTTAGCTTAGCTTAGCTTTGCCTAGCCTAGCCTAGCTTAGCTTAGCTTAGCTCAGCTCAGCTTAGCTTAGCTTAGCTTTGCCTAGCCTTAGCTTAGCTTAGCTTAGCTTCGCTTCGCTTCGCTTCGCTTAGCTTAGCTTAGCTTCGCTTCGCTTCGCTTAGCTTAGCTTAGCTTAGCTTAGCTTAGCTTAGCTTAGCTTACCCCATCTTAGCTTAGCTTAGCTTAGCTTAGCTGTTGCTTTCCTGAATGCTCCAACTCCTAGGTAGGGTCGCACTGGGATAATCATTATTACTGTTGCCATCCAAGACTTCGGGGTTTTGATAGCTGCATACCTCGGGAGTGCAAATATTGCATACTGTACAAAGCTTTGCGGCCTCGGGGACGCGAGAGTCGTGCAATTCACGAGGGATAATGGTTTCGGGGGCGCGAATATCATATATTTTACGTGTCCCACGACCCCCCGGGAATTCAGAGCATGCGATTCGGGGACGCTCGCCAGGACGCTTGTCGGTTCCCTCCCTCGCGCGGGCTTCAGTTTACAATAAATACATAACGTAGAACTATCATACTGAAAGCTGGAACATGCAACTGGCGCAGGGATCATGAAAGCCTGATCTTCGCAGCCTGATGGCCCCGCAAGGAGGCCCGCGGATTAGAACGACGACGACGAAAAGGCAACAAGGACGTATCGCTTATCGTTATCGCTGCTTTTCCAGGTGGAGGAGGCGGAGGAGGAGGAGGAGGAAAAGGGCGGCGGAGGAGGAGGAGGAGGACGGGGAGGAGGAGGAGGAGGAGGAGGAGGAGGAGGAGGAGGAGGAGGAGGAGGAACGAGGAATGAGGAAGGAAGGACGAGTGGGGGCACTCCGCCCCGCCCCCTGGACGTCCGAGGCCACACCGAGCCTATGAACTCGGGGACCAGCTCCCGAAAAAACTTCGACACTTGTGAAAACAAGCCCCCCCGACCCCCCAGCGCGGCGCATCCGCTGGCCTCCAACCTGGTGCGGCTGGCGCCCGTGCTGCACGACCTCCTGCTGCCCCCCGCGGCGGCGGGCCTGTCCTGGGCGGGGGGGGGTGCGGCGGCGAGCGGGAGCGTCGGGTCGGACCCTGAGGACGGGGACAGGGGGAGCACGAGCTCTGCTGCCTGCAGCTGGTTTCGCCCCTGCCGCCGGGCGCCTTTATCGATACGTTGGCGCCTCCAGCGCCGGGATGCGCCCGGAAAGCAAGATACGCGAGCTGATTCGCTAGCCCCCCCTCTATCACCCCACCCCTTCCGTCCGACCCGAGAGCGGAAGGTTTCGGTCAAGGGCAGCGTTTGGGAGTGATAGTGCAAATGGGGGTGGGGGGGCGATGTTCGAGGTTCGAGGTTTTCGAGAGTTGTCGAGAGTTTTCGTCGGTTCTTGGGGGTTCCCTGCCTCGGGGTGTGTTCTGGCGACTGCGCCTCGCCGAGGGCGTTCCGCAGCTGCCCGAACGGCCGCTTGAGTTCCCTGCCCGAAAACCAACGGATGCTCGGGATGCAACTCCAGAATGGTCCAGAGATCGGGCGCATCGCGTGGCGGGCCACTCGCGCGTACCATTGCACCAGGGAGTCTGCGAGGCCGAGCCACATATCACGGCTCCTGGCGACATCGTTCCAGCTGCGATAGCCTTTCGTCGCACAGAAGCGCCTCATCGTTAGGGGGAGAGGCTCAGGGGGGACGCATCGATCCCCAATCGCCGATTCATCGCCGATAGGGGCTTGATAGCCCGCCCAGGAGCATGTGCGTTCGCTGTTGGGGGCCTATCGCCGATCGATCGGCGACGTATCGCCGAATCCAGGTCGGCGTTTCCCCCCAGTCCACCCTTGACGTTGCCCCTCAGGAGAGGGGTCGGAGGGGTCCCGGGCGTCGAGGGCTCCTGGAGGAAATGCACGCACGGATGCGCGTGGGTCATCGACGGGTCCCGTTTCGTTGCAAGCTCGACGCGTTGTGTCGCAAACTCCAGGCGGCACTCGCGCAATGTTGCCAGAGGTACATTCCCCGATCCGTGGATTCCTTTCGCTTCGCGGGGTTCACATCCAGAATGTTTAGAGTCTGTGAGTTTCGGTCCTTCTGGGAGCCTTGCGGAGGCCTCTTGGGGCCTCTCTGGGACATCTCGGGGCCGCTCGGGGGCTTGTTGGGAGCTTGTTTGGGCATCTTCGGGGCGTCTTGGGCCGTCTTCGGGCGCTGTTGGACCGTCTGGTGGCCGTCCTGGGGGCCCTCACTTGGCCGTCTTGGTGCCCTGGGGCCTCCAAGGGCCGTCTTGGTGGTCTCCTGGGTCGTCTTGGGGCCCACTTGGGCCGTCTTGGGGCTGTTTGGGGAGCCATTTGGGTCACGCTGGAGCTGCCTGGGCCGTCATGGGGTTCCCTTGGGGGCCTCTTGGACCGTCTTGTGGCCCTCTTGGGTACAACTTGGGGCTGTCTTGGGGTGTCGGAAGTCCGAAACGGCGAGAACGGTAAAATCTGTTCACCACCTTGGAGCCCCTCTTGAGGGTCCTCTCGGAGCTCCTCTTGGGCCGTCTCGAGGGCCTCTTGGGCCGTCTTGGGGTCCTCCTGGGCCGTTTTGGGGCCATCCTGTGTCGTCTTGGAGCCATCTCGTGCCGTCTCGACACCCTCCAGAGGCGTCTCGAGGCCCAAGCCACAGACCGCCCGAGCATCGTGTCGTACCATGTCTGCCGTTGCAGGTCAAGGCTCGGCCCCGATAGACTTCTCGAGCGCCTCGCCGGCGGTGAGCTTTCTCGGGGCCCCGCCAGGACCCACAACGGCGAGGTCGGACAGCGGACCCCCAGGCATTTGTGGATCGTGTACCCCAATTGGGTGCTGGGGCTACAGCGGCCTGTGGTTCACCCCTTCAGCGAGAGGAGGCCGAGCCCCCTCGGGTTCTGGCGACGCAGCTGGCCCGAATCTGACAGGAGGCCCAATGAGGCATGAGGGAGGCGGGTTGGGTTTGGAGGGGCCACTCTGGCCGAGGAGCGCGAGCAACGTCAACCCTGAAGGTAATCAGGGCCGAGCCGCACCCCCCCGAGTAGGGAAGGACGGGGAGGGGACAAAGAGGGGAGCGCCCTAACCATACCATGTACTTGGGCGACTCGTTCGGGCCAAGCACAGCCCGTCTGACCAGCCCCCCCTGGCTTGTGGCGTCGAGGTGGCGCACTCTTAGCACCATGGCGGGGTGTATCTCGGTCCCCGTATACAGGGTATTTGTTTCTCGTTAGGGGGGGCTTCTTCGTGCCAAGAGTACAGCCCGAATGGCCCTCCTGGTTTGTGGTGTCACGGTGACACACTCCACAAGCAGGGTTCAGGCTAATGAGTTCCTTTTGACCAATCCAATCCTGGGGCTCGTACCCGTCCCCTGGCCAATGCTACCGACAACAGGACCTGGCGCCCAGAGGCCCCTGGATATCGCAAGGGTATGTTCGGGCGTGCCCATCGGATTTTAATCAGGGCTGTAAGCAGATAGCAGGTGTTTGCTTTGGAGGGCAAAGTCGACCTGCGTCTAGGTCTAGAAAACTAATATAGGGGCCTATGCCAAATACCGTTCTGACTTTCTGTCTACAGGCGTCTATATGCACATAGGATGTCGTTACTGATGTAGACGCAACATTCGGGGTGGATGCGTCAAAAGACAACGCGGCCGTTGCGTTCGGCGCAGTACAAGGTCGGAGAAAGGGTAGATCCGTATACGGTATGTTGGTATGTTGCTGTTCTGCAGCATGTCCCACATGGTAATCCAATATTTGCCAAGGATTGTGCCTCAAGAGGTAGCGCACTACCTGTGGTGATCCCCTCATATCTGGGGGACCATGCCAATTAGAAAGTGCAAGGTGTTTGGGTGCCCCATCGGATGGTGTTCCTCAGGCCGTGAGACCAGCCCGAACAGTCCCCTTGGCCTGTGTCGCCCAGGTGATTGAACCCCAACGAGCTCGAGAGAGGTGCTCAGTGGAGACTGTGTGTCTCCCTACATGTCTTCCCGTGCGTCCTCTCTGTTAACTCATGCTTGGGCCGTGCTCACCTTCGGCACGGGGAGGAGTAGGAGCAGGAGTAGGGTGGAGGATGGAGGAGGAGGAGGAGGATGAGGAGGAGGAGGAGGAGGAGATGCAGGAGGAGGATGGGAGCAGAAGTGGCCCCCCAGCCCAGGCGGCCGGAGATGCCCCATCGCCGCCCAGTCTGCCAGAGACGTGCGCCGGGCAGGGGTGGCCAACCCGAACCCAGGTGCAGTCGATACGAGGCAACGCTCCCAGGACCAATGATCTTGATTATGTTGATAATGCTGATGATGATGCTGATACTGATGCTGGTGCTGATGCTGACGATGATGATGGTGACGATGAGGATGATGATGCTGATGATCATGATGATGATCCTGATGATGGAGATGATGCTGTTTATGATGATCATGCTAATGATAATGGTTTTGATATTGATGACGATGATGATGAGGATGATGATGGTGATGACGATGACGATGATGGTGATCATGACGATTATGATTATGATGACGATGTTGAATAATCTAATAATGATTAAGATGATCATGCTGATGATGCTGATGCTGGTGATGGTGATGATGATGATGATGGCGATGATGATGGTGATTTCGATGATGATGTTGATCGTGATGGTGATGGTAAATGTGATGGTGATGGTGATGATGATGATGATCACGATGTTGATGATGCTGCTGCTGATGACATCGAGGATGCAGATGATGATGATGATGATGATGATGATGATGATGATGATGATGATGATGTTGATGACGATGATGATATCTAGGATGTAGATGATGATGACGATGATGATGGTGATGATCATGATGATGACACTGATGGTGATGACGATGATGACGATGACGATGGCGATGATGATGACGATGACGATGATGATGCTGATGATGATGATGTCCATGATGATGATGCTGATGATGATGGTGATGATGATGACGATGATGATGATGGTGGTGATGATTCTTATGATGATGATGATGATTGTGATGATGATGATGATGATGATGATGGCGATGGTGATGGTGATGCTGATGATGATGATGATGATGATGATGATGAGCATGATGATGATGATGATGATGATGATGATGATGATGATGATGATGATGATGATGATGATGATGATGATGATGATGATGGGTGTTATGGTGTGGGTGATGGTGATGGTGATGCTGATGGTCTTGACTATGATTTAATCGCTTCGCTCATTCCGCCGCCCATATTGTCTCGCCGCGTGCCGCTTGACGGCTGCCATTTTCCGGAGGCGGTGCGTGCAGTTGTTGTGGAGTTGCTTCCTGGGGGTCTGTCGCAGACCCCTAAGGTGTTGTCTTGGCAGTCGTGGGTTATCAGGGGGGTTGAAGATGTTTGGCTTGTGCCGTTGTGGGTCTTTTGTGGCCCTTGAGGACCTCTAGTGCACGCGCGACCATATTGAATGACAGATGTTATGTCGCGGGACCCTAGTGAAGGACATGTGCTATGTGTTGTCGTGCTCGTGGCGAACTAGAAGGAGGAGAAGGGCTTCCTGCTCCCCCTACCCCCCTCGGCACACCGACTGGATCGTGGACAAGAGTCTTCTTTGGGAGGCGTCATGTTTCTCGTGGGCGGCCTACTGGTGGCCTCTGGGAAGCATTTTTGCGGCCCCTTGGTGCCTTTCGGAGACGTTTCGGGTGCCTCTTGGGGCCTCTTAGGCTGCTCCCCGACGGTTCGGAGGCCTTTTTGGGCCTCCTTGGCCCCCTGGGGGCCCTTTGGGGGCCTCTCGGGGCCTCGATGGCGCCGTGGGGGCCTCTTGGAGGCACCCTGGGGGCATCTTGGGGGGCCTCTAGGGGCCTCTTGGGGCTCTTGGCGGCCTCTTGGGCTTTCTGGGAGCCTCTCGGGGGCATCTTTGGCGCATCTTGGGAGTTTGTGAAGTTCTGCTTGCTGAGGCCCAGTTGAGGGGCCTCTGAAGGCCCTCTTTGGCTTGTCTGGGACCACCGTGGGGAAACATGGAGGCATCTTGGGATCATGTTCGGGCCATCGTGGGGCCTGCCACCTACTGATGCGGAGTCATGGGCCCTCTTGAAGCTCCCTTGGGGTCTCTTGGGGCGCTTCTGGGGCGATATTGAGGGAGCCGATAGCCGCCCCCTGGAGTTCTGGCATCATTGAGCGGACCTTGCCGGGTCCTTGCCGGGAGTCGGCCAGGGGCCGCCCCGCGCGCGCGAACCAGAACATACGGAACCAGTTACCGGAGATCTTAGCTCGCCTCTGGCCCGATGGGCCAGCGACGTATAATGATGATGATGACGATGATGACGAAGAGGATGTCAATGACGATGATGATGTTGATGATGACGATATTAATGATGATCATGCCGATGATAATGGTGATGATGATGATGATGATGACGATGATGATGATGATGATGATGATAATGATGATGATGATCATGATGATGACGTTGACGATCACGATGTTGCAGATGTAGATGATGATGATGATGATGATGCTGATGATGATGATGATGATGATGGTGATGGTGATGGCGATGGTGATGGTGATGGTGATGGTGATGATGCTGATGTTGTTGTTGTCGTTGTTGTTGTTGATGCGGCGATATTGTTGCTGCTGCTGATGGTGATGTAGTGATGGCGATGATGATGGTGGTGACGATGGTGATGCTAATGGTGATGGTGATGGTGATGATGATGATGCTGATGATGATGATGATGATGAAGATGACCATGACGAATACGATGGTGATGCTGATATGGATGCTGAGGATGGTGATGCTGAAGCTGCTGATGATCATGATGATGACAATGTTGGTGAGTATGATGATTATGCTGATGGTGATTATGATGTTGATCATGATCATGATGATGACGATGCTGATGCTGTTGGTTGTGATGCTGATGACCGGTCATACGATGGTGACGATGGTGATGATGACGACGACGATGTTGGAGAATTCGAATAATCAAATGATGTTGCTGATGATGATGCTGATGATGATACCGATGATGCTGATTATGAGGCTGACGCTGATGTCGATGAAGATGATGATTACGATGGTGATACTGATAATTATGCTGATGATGATGCTGATGCTGCCGATGATAATACTACCAGGATGGTGATGCTGCTGATGATGACGATGATGATGTTGATGATGATGATGATGATGATGATGATGATGATGATGATGATGATGATGATGATGATGATGATGATGATGATGATGATTCGTATGATGAATATGTTGATGATGGCGGTGGCAACGGTTGTGATAGTCATGTTTGCTGACCAATGGTGGTGATTGTGGTGGTGGTTGCGGTGGTGGAGGTCATTTGAAGGCGGCCCCCACTGCCGCCGACCCCAACGAAGGCGACAGGTGGCCTTCGGCTCCTCTGGGGCTGAAGGGGCAGAGGCCCCAGGAAGCGTCGGAACGACTTGGAGCGCTTCCGAGACAGCTCAGAAGGGCTCTGAGGCTTCCATTAGCACCCAAGAGACCGCCAAGAAGCCTGCAACAGGCTCCCAAGGCCGTCCACAGAAGAGAGCCCCGAAGAAGCCTCCAACAGGCTCCCAAGAGCTCCGAAGAAGCCCGAGAGAGGTCAACCTGTTTCAGAACTGTTGGAGCATCTACGCAATTATGTGTTTGGCGCTCTCGCTCCCAAGAGGCTCCGAAGAGCCCTCAGGAGGTGCTCAAAAGGCCCCCGAGAGGCTTTCAAATGCCGAACGGCCCCCAATAGACCTACAAGAGCCCCCAAGAGACCCCCAAGAGGCCCCAACCAAATCCAAGAGTCCCCAAGAGGTGCCGCCTCAGAGAGCTCCACAGGATACCCACCAGCCATCCAAGATGGCGGCGAACTCGAAGGAGGCGGCTCCTCTCTCCTCTTCCTGCCCTGGTGGTTATCCAGCCTCGGGGTGTTTTCCAGCAGTTGTGCCTCGCCGAGTGCGTTCCAGGGTGTCTGGATCTCTCCGACCGACCACCTGGTCCCGCTATCCTCGAAATCCGCCGCTCCGTTATCTCCGATATTCACCGCCCTGCACGTCTGAAAGGCGATGGGGCGAAAGGAAGCAGGCAGGATGAGGAGGCTCTGGGAGGGTGACGGGACGAGGAGGTAGGCGAGGAGGTAGCATTTCACACGCGCATGACTACCGTGCTGTATACTATTCTCCACGCTGGATCCCATCACCGTGCGTGACCACCATGCTGTGTCATCTTCTTCTCCCGGTAGCTTGTGGGTTACGAAGGAGTCTGCACATGCCTCTGAGGTCGGCGGAGCACATGGATGTGTATTGGTGCACAGGTACATACACATATGCTAGATCTCGATAAGTCTTGGCGACTTGTGTGAATTTCTGCCAGCTTGACAGCTCTCGACAGCTTTGTCAGGGCGTGGGTGGGCGTCGTTGGGAGTCCTGGGTGGGTTTTTGCAGGGATGGAGAAGGAGGAGGAGGGTCCAGAGGCGGAGGTTGATGATGATCATGGTGATGGTGATGTGGATGAGAAGGAGGAGGAGGAGGAGGAAGGGGTGGAGGACGAGGAGAAGGAGGAGGAGGAGGAGAAGGAGGGGGAGGAGGAGAAGCTAAGGAGGAGGATATTAAGGGTAAGGAGATGGAGTGGCATGAGAAGGAAAAGGCGAGAGAAGGAGTCGGAGGAGGAGGAGGAGGAGGAGGAGGAGGAGGAGGAAGGAGGAGGATACGGAGGAGGTGGAGGAGGATACGGAGGAGGAGGAGGAGGAGGAGGAGGAGGAGGAGGAGGAGGGGGGAGAAGGTGGAGGAGGAGGAGGGGGGGGGCCATTTCTCCTGATTCTTCCCTGCTCACCCTGCTGCTTAAGTTTCCTCCCCCCTCTCTCTCGCCGCTGCCGCCGCCGCCGCCGCCGCCGCCGCCGCCGCCGTCGTCGTCGTCGTCGTCGTCGTCGTCGTCGTCCTCGTCCTCGTCCTCGTCCTCGTCCTCGTCCTCGTCCTCGTCCTCGTCCTCGTCCTCGTCCTCGTCCTCGTCCTCGTCGCCCTCGGCGGCGGCGCCGCCGCTGGGAAGGCCGCCAGGAAGGCTGCTTGGAAGGCCGCCGAAGGCTCCCCGACGGCCCCCGAAGGCTTCAGAAGGCCGCCGCTGCAGTCCACGAGAGGCCTCGGGAGGCCGCCGGAGGCCGCTGGACGCCGCTGGAGGCCGCTGGAGGCCTCAGGCCGCCCCGGAAGGCTGCCGAAGGCGGCCGAAAGACCCTCGAAGGCGTCAGAAGGCCCATGGTCTGCAGGTGAGGTGTCGAGGGCCGCCGAGGGCCACCTTGCGCCCAGCCCGAGCCCAGGCTGGCGCCGCCGTTCGCGAAGGGCGGCGTAGGGCGCCTGCACCCCTCGACGCTGCGCCTGGCCGGCGGGAGGGCCACGAGCGGCGAACATATCCGTATCCGCGCCCTCCCGATCTTGATTCCGGTGCGCGATGCCGCGGCTACGCGGTCGCACGAAAAAGTTCCGCACGGGGCATCCACGAAAAAGACCTCGTATCCGAGGGGTCGCGGCCCAGGGGCCCAGCCCGCGATGCCGCGGATACGGATATGCTTGTCGGCCGCGACGAGGATCGCGGGGTCTTTCTCTTTTCGGTACGATTTGGGTATGTGGGGTATTTCCTCCGAGGCGTAGACTTAGCCATAGCCACTGCTTGGGGGATCGATCTTCGGGGACCTCGGCAGGTGGTGGATCTGATTATGTTCGGGGCCCCTTGGGCCGAGCTACATCCATAACCACCGCCCGTTAGGGTCCCAGGACGTCGGTGCCACATGCGGTGGATACGGACAGATCCTCGCCTCGCACAGCCTCATCTCGGTAAGAGCGACTTGGATACGGAAGGAAATGATGGGGACGAAGATCGACAGCTCTATTCGGGACTCGCTGTCGGCGCCGCCGCGGACGTTGTCTGCTTGAGACAACACCGGCCGCTATCGGTTTTGGACACCATCTGCTGCAGGGCATAGTCTCATTTTCTTGTGTCCAGGGCATGCCAATCCTCTTTCTCTTCGGGGGCGTTCAGGAGGGCGGCGATGTATAATGGCCAGGGCCATAATGTCTCCTCCGATGTCATTGCCCCCTCGTGCAATGCATCACTTGGTCCTCTTTGGCCGCGCACGTTCCTCGCTCGGGCCATGACTTGCGAGACTCCCTCTTAGACGCCCCCGTCGCCGATGTATCTTCCCACTCCCAAGGACGACGAGTTACGTGTGGCACAGGTTGGAAGGACAATCTATCACACATGCGACGGCTTCTTTCTAAGATTTTCCTGAGCCAGGTGAACACGGGCACCATTGTGTAAGGCCCCCCCAGACCGAACCGACTCTCAAGGGTCCCGCTCCCGCGGATCTGCGCGCTCTGCTTCGCTCCGCTTCGCTTCTGTCCCCCCTCCCTGTGCGACATCACTGACAGTGCGAATCCATGGACGTACGTACAAGTCTCTCTTGTTGGAGCTGGGTCTCACCGAAGAGACGTCCCCACGGTGATCGGCGGGACCAACACGATGCACATGGGAGGGGTTACTGCCCCAACGCCGTCGTCCTCAGGAGGACGCGCGTGGAGCGGTGTCGACGCCTGTCCTCTCTTCCCCGCCCCTCCCCCCCCACGAAGTCGTGAAGCTGTGGGCAGTATCTAGTGGTTATCACGATGCCATGCCCTCCTCATCCTCCCTCCCTCCTTCCCTCCACTCCTTGCTCTCCTCCACTCCTCCTCCTCTTCCTCCTCCTCCTCCTCCTCCTCGTCGTCGGCAAGTGGCGTCGTCTGCCGCCTGAATTCGAGGCGCACTGGTCCAGGCGTCGCCCCGCCCCCCCCCTCTGCCTGAGGTGACCAGCGGTCCCTCCCTTGACGTCGTCGTCGTCGTCGTCGTCGTCGTCTTCGTCGGCGGCGGCGGCGTCGTGCTCCTCCTCTTCTTCCTCCTCTTCCCTCCCTCCCTCCCTCCCTCCCTCCATTCCTCCCTCTCTTATCTCTCCCTCCCTCCCTCCCTCTTTACAATTACTCAATATGAATACTACTCTCCCTCTTCCCCTGATGACGGTTTGAAAGTGCTCGACCCCCCCCCGCGTACGGTTTTTTTACACACAGGTTCCCCGGAGTTGGGTTTTCGCCTGCATTTTTTCAAAATGCTGCTCTCGCTGAGGCGCCGGCCTCATTTTCGGGCCCCGCTCGTTCCGAATCGTGCTCCCGCTGCAGCGCTGGCCTCACTTCTGCGCTTCCGCTCGTTTCGACTCGTGCTCCCGCTGCAGCGTTGGCCTCATTTCCGCGCTTCCGCTCGTTCCGACTCGTGCTCCCGCTGCAGCGCTGGCGTCATTTCCCGTGCCATGCCACGGCATGCAATGCAATGTTAGGTTGATGCTACGCTTTGCGGTGCTCTTCTACGCCATGCCATGCCGTACTCTACAATGCATCGCGTACGCTTTCGGGATCCTTGCCCTGCTCGACATCCTACTGTGCGAGTAGAGAGGGGATCTACGCCATGGTAAGGGATGGGAGAGAGGGGTAGGAAGTCAGATATGACGCGAGCGCACCTAGCTTGCCCTCCCCCCCTCCCTCCCTCCCTACCTCCTCACCCTTTCCAGGATGGGGAGGAGGAGGGGGGGCATGAGGATATGGGGACGTTCTTGACCATGCCCCAATGGCCAAGCTACACCCAACTCCACGAGCACACCCCGAAGACTTCCCAGGATCTTCCCTCTTTCTTCTTTCTCTCTCTCTCTCTCTCTCTTCCTCCATCCTCCTCCCTCCTCCTTCCCCATCCTTATCCACCCGCCTTCTCATTCGTCCTTCTTTCTCACACCTCTTTCTTTATCGTCGTATCATTGGCCGTGTCGCTAGGTAGGGCAAGTCGTTTTGCCGACGACCGTCTACCCCTCCTTGCACGAGGCCCACACGCGCGCCCCCCTGTATGAGGCAGCGGGCGGCAACCTGGCGAGTCCTTGGCGGACCCCCCCCAAGCAGAAACGAGGCGGTAATGGGCGGAAACGTGGCGAATCTTTGGCGGACGCTCGAGGCGGCAGCGAGGTGGCAACTGGCAGCGTCGGGCGGCAACGGGCGGCAACGCGGTGAATCCTCGGCTGACGCCCCAAGCGGCAACGAGGCGCCCACGGGCGGCGACGCGGCGAAGCCTCGCCGGACCCCCCAAGTGGGCAGCAACGAGGCGGCCGCGAGGCGACCGCGGGCAGCGACGCGGCGAAACCTCGGCGGACCCGCCCAATTCCGTAGCTGCGCGAGTAAGACCCCCTAAATGCAAGCACCGCTTGAGGAATGCCAACATTCCCCAATCAGTGCTTGCACTGAAGGGGTCCTAGCGGGTCCTCCCCGGTTCCGGGTTCCCTGGTTCCCGATTGCAGGTTCTTTGTCGATCTCACCATCGATTTCATTGTCGATCTCACCATCCATTTGTTTCAATCGATCTCACTATCGATCTCACTTTTGATCTCACTCTCGATATCACTATCGATATTACAATCGATCTCATTGTCGATCACACTACTGATATCACTATAGATCTTACAATCGATCTCACGAAAGATCTCACGATCGCTCTCAATATCGGTCTCACTATCGATATCATCATCGATGTCTCTATCGATCTCACTATCGATGTCCCTCAATCGTTCCCACTACTACTGATATCACTATTGATCTCCCTATCGGTATGACTGTGAATCTCACTATGGACCTGACAATCGATCTCACTCAATCGATCTCGCTCATTTGATCTTGCTATCGAACACACGATCTTCGATCACATTCAATCAACATCACTGTTGATCTCACTATCGATCTCACTATCGATCTCGCTGTGGATCTCACCATCGATCTCACCGTGAGACAGAGAGAGGGAGAGACATAACCAAGCAACTATGACAAATACAAAATGATAGAGGCGGAGTAGAGAGAGAGAGAGAGACATAAGGAGAAAGCGCGTATATGTATGTATGCATGTATACATACAGATGCACAGGGAGGTCTAGGGAGTGATGCAAACACACATGTATATAGGACATAAGAGAGGGAGAGAAGGAAACACATAACGAGAGAGACAAAGAGAGAGAGAGAGAGAGAGAAATACTTATAACCAGAGAGAGAGAGAGAGGAAACTATAACTACTAGACTGGACTAGAAGGCATATTCGAATTAGACTAGGGCGGGAGGGAAGCCGATTGAGGCACCTGCGAAACAATCAAACATCCATTGATAGGGTTTTCCCAGGTGTAGAGCATACATGATATGTTCTCATCTCTCATCTCTACATGTGTAAGTATGTATGTAGATGTGTCTCTATGTATACACATACTCAGTCGGGTTCGACAGCCTGGGCGGAGGGGAGGTGGGCGGCAAACCGCCGCGGACCAGGTTCAACGTTGGGGCTCCTCGGGCGGCCCCATAAGTGGTCCCAGACGCCCCCAGGGGCGGCCCCCGGGACGCCCAGAGCCACCCCTCGGTGCCGGACGATATCCTGGGGGGCCCGCTCAGTCTGGAAGCTTCCCGGGGGAGGGCCAGTCCCCGGAAGGCCGGCTGGGGAAAACCCGCGGGCGCAGCGCATTTAGGGGGGGCGATGGATGGGGGGGGGTGAAGAAAGGTGCACCCTTTGTGCCCTGAAGGAAGCGGCCCCCTGGGGCCCAACAGGGGCGAGAAAGGTGCACGTTTCTGCCCCCTCCCCTCCCCATGTGTCACGTCCTTTCGCTCGCTTCGCTCTCGATCCCTTGGTCCGCCCTCCTTTCTGGTTCGGCCCCTCGGGCCCTCGTTCGCTCGGGCTTTCACGGACTTCGCGCATTGACTCTTAACCCACGCACAAATCAAAAAAGCCATGTGTTCGGGCGAAGAGAACTATGCACATGCACCGGTCCTGGCCAGGCCCATCCTTGGCCCCAGGATCGGTGCATATGCCTTCCTGGCCAAGGCAGGAGGGCGTATGCACCGATCTTTGTCTCAGGATGGACCTGGCCAAAATCGGTGTATGTGCATGGTTCCCTACCTAGGCTCTGCCTAGAAGGGTTCTTACTTTCTTTGCTAAAGGGGGCGGGCAATGGAACCCACCCCGGGCGGTTCCCCCAGTTGCGCCCCCCTGGTTCCCCCAGTTGCGCCCCCCTGGGTTCACCCAGCTTAGCTTAGCTAAGCTTAGCTTAGCTTCGCTTCGCTTAGCTTTAGCTTAGCTTAGCTTAGCTTAGCTTAGCTTAGCTTAGCTTAGCTTAGCTTAGCTTAGCTTAGCTTAGCTTTGCCTAGCCTAGCCTAGCTTAGCTTAGCTTAGCTCAGCTCAGCTTAGCTTAGCTTAGCTTTGCCTAGCCCAGCTTAGCTTCGCTTAGCTTAGCTTAGCTTAGCTTAGCTTAGCTTAGCTTAGCTTACCCCATCTTAGCTTAGCTTAGCTTAGCTTAGCTTAGCTTAGCTTAGCTTAGCTTACCCCATCTTAGCTTAGCTTAGCTTAGCTTAGCTGTTGCTTTCCTGAATGCTCCAACTCCTAGGTAGGGTCGCACTGGGATAATTCTTTTTCCTCGCGCCCCCCGTTCAGCAACGCCCCACCGCTCTGGAAGCCTCCCTGGGGCGCGGGCGGGGGACAACCCCGGGGCCCAGGGCCCGCCTCGTCGGCGTTTGCGGCAAGGGCGGGCAGCCTGGGGGGGAGCTAGGCCTCCCAGATGGGGTCGGAGCAGTTGGGGGCGGAGGACATCGGCGATGCTCAGAGGAGGAAAGGGTACCCCTACCTCTACCCTTCGCCTGTTTTCCCCCGTCTGGGTCTCCTCGGAAGCCCTCGTTGCCACCGCTGGATTCGCCTCGAAATCCTGGTCAGAACGCACCCCGGGAGAGGTCTGGGGAGTAGCGGTATCGGTACCTTTTTGTCTCCCCAGATGCGGCTCGATGTGGAGCCCGATCTTCTCCACGCAGGCGTCGCGCGGGCATCACCGATGTCGCCGGTGCATCGCCGATGCGTCGGCGATGCGGCGAGGTCCTCCACCCCATCCACTCCATCTGAGAGGCCTCTGGCGAAGCATGTACCCATGGGCATCCGATCGCCCTCGTCTTGGACCAGGCGCCCTGGCGAGTGCGCGCAATACCCGCCCCTGAGATGTCCGCTCCTTTTACCTCCGCCGAGTTTCCGTCAGGACCCATTTCCTTCTTGCCAGGTATCGGAGGACGGCCAGTTGAGGCAGCGGCGGCTCTCACGCCCAGCCCAAATCCCTTCAATTTCGGTCCCCAGACCCCGCCCAGGGTCCATCCCGATTCATCTTCTGGGGCAGATCCAGACGTGCGACGAAGCCTCCAGGGACCAGGAACGGCGAAAGATGCAAGGGGAGAGCCTCCCTTGGTTGTCTGGACTGGCCCTCCTCCGATGTTGCCTCCGCCGAGTTTCGGTCAGGATCCGCTTCCCTCGCGCTGGCTTCAGGATGGGAGGGGAGGCGGTCGGTGCGGGCGGCGCTGCCCAGTCGCCCTCCGTCCAGCGCCGCGGGGAGCCACTGGTGCGGAGGGCATCAGCCAGGGGCAGCGATAGGGGGATAGGCCCTGGGGGCAACGCATCGACCCCCCAAATCGCCCATTCATCGCCGATAGGTCCCGATCGCCCACCTCGCCCAGAAACACTATCGGCGATGTATCGCCGATCCCAGCTCGATGCTTCCCCCCCTCGAGCCGGTCCCCCCCCGGTCCCCCCTATCGGTTCCCCTCGGTCAGGGCCGCCGTCGTCGTCGCTTCGCCGTCGCTGTCGCCGTCGCCGTCCTCGCCGGTCTTCGCCATTGTCTTGGCTCCGACGGTGTTGTCGCCCTCATGGTCGTCGCGGCGGCATTCAGGGGGGCTGCTGAAGGCTGGTTGGGGTAGGCACCTCTAACCTCGGGGTGTGATTTTCTGGCTTGGGCCCGCTCGTTCGTATCGTTTCCCAGACCTTCCAGATGGCGGTGTTGCTCGTCGGGAGTGTCAGTGGCTGGGTTGTCCCTTGTGGAGCCTTGGATCTCGCGGCTGTGGATCTCCTAGTGTCGGTCTTCAAGTTAATCACTTCCACATTTTCCAGCTCTGGCAATTCTGAACGCTTCTGGACGCCATCAGGGGAAGTGGGAGAGTATTTTCATATTGTGTAATTGTGGAGGAGGAGGAGGAGGAGGAGGAGGAGGAGGAGGAGGGCGAGCAGAAAGGCCAGAGGCCTCTTGGATGCCGCTCAGAGTCTCTTCGGATCTCCTTCGAGTTCCTTGGAGTCCTCTCGGGGCGTCTTGGGGTCTCTTGGCCGTCCCGGGGCCTCTTGAGGCGTATTGGGTGCCTCTGGGGAGCTTTTCGGAACCTCTTGGCGGTCTCTTGGGAGCCTCTTGGGGGCATCTTGCGGCCTCTTGGTCTTGGGCCCCTCTAAGGCACCCTTGGGAGCCTCGGGGGCCATCTTGGGGCTATATTGGAGGAGCTCGATCAAAGGTGGGGGGGTACTCATTAGGGTCCCCCGTCCAGGAGGCCAACATTAGTGATTGTGGGCTTTTCTCCGAGGCCTCTTGGGGCGTCTCGAGTGCCCCTGAGGGACCTCTTGGGACCTCTTTGGGGGTCTGTCGAGAGCCTCTTGGAGGCATTTTGGGGGCCCAGTGGGCCTCCTGGGCACCTCTTGGGTTCCTCTTGCCCCTCCTTCCCTCCGGGAGGGAGGGGAAGGAGGAAAGAGGAGGAGATGGGAGGGAAGGGGGGATGGCGGGAGGAGGGATGGAGGGACCCTCCAGGCCTCCACGCCCACCCAGCATCCCAAATTCCTCCGGGTGCCGCGCAGCGTCTCGTCCTTGGGAGCCTTGTGGCCCATCTGTGTGCCATCTAGGAAAAGATCGATCAAAGGAGGGGGGCTCCTCATTAGGGCCCCCCCCGTGCAGGAGGCCAAAATGTATCCATAATGTTAGTAACATCAATGATTTGGGCCTTCTCGCCGAGGCCGATTGGGGCGTTTTGTGTCGGGAGCCCCTTGCGGGCATATTGGGGCTCTTGGGGGGCACGTGGGGTCTCCTAGGCACCTCTTGGAGCCCTCTTGGGGTACCCTTGGGAGCCTTGGGGGCCATCTTTGGGCCATCTAGGAAGAGATCGATCAAAGGAGGGGGTCTCCGAATTTGGGTCTTCCGTCCAGGAGGCCAACATGTGGCCAATACCTTACTAAAGTCAATGGTGTTGGCCTTCTCGCCGAGGCCTCTTGGTTGTCTTAGGTGCATCTGGGGGGCCTGTGGGAGCGTCTTGGGGGTCTCTTGGGAGCCACTTGGGGGCCTCTTGGGGCCTCTTGGGGCCTCTTGGGGACCTCTTGGGGGCCTCTTGGTGCCTTCTGGGCACCTCTTGGGGACCTAGTGGGGCACCCTTGAGAGAGCCTTGGGGGCATCTTGGGTTTCGTCCTGGAGGAGCTCGATCAAAGGAGGGGAGCTCCCCCATTAGGATCCCCACCAGAGGCCAACATGTGGCCAAAACCTTGGTACAATACATGATTTGGGCTTCCTCGCCGAGGTCATCTTGGACGCGCCAACGTCTCGCGACCCCCCCTCCAAACTCAGCGGGAGGGGGTTGGGGGGAGCGGGACACCCCTCCCCGAAGGGGAAGAAGGGGTGTTGGAAGAAGAAACTCGCTAAATCACTTTCGCCCTGAAGGGCTGGTGAGATTCCCGCTCATGTAACTCGTTTCTTGGATTCTTGCTTTCACTTTTACCCTTGCCCCTTGCAGGCACCGGCTGGGCACCAAACGGTCAGCTACCGTCGCGCTTCGTCTGTACGCACGCAGGCGGGTTTCGAGGGCCTGTGCCACATTCTTCCTTTAGGACTGCTGTCCCACATGATCCGTATCACCCACATTAATATGTTGCAAGACCTCACAGAGCATACGAAGGTTACCTATAGCTCATAGCTACAAGTTGAAAGTCAAGGGGCTAAAACGATCACCATCGGTTCTCTTCAGGCTCCCCATTGCCTTTTTGTTACAACATGATGTGCGCGACTCCCACCATCAAACCAGTCGGTCAGCACGACATGAGGCCTTTACATGTTGCTGGCCTCGACGGTCGCCGATGATTTGATGCCAGCCTTACCAATCGATGTTCGCCATCTTGTGTCTTTAAGACTCGGTATCGGTATCATTAGTTGTGTTTCTTTAGAGGCCGCCCGCGATTGAAGCCACACGCATTCTATCTCGTGTCGTCATTCAGGTGGTCTTTTTGCGTAATCTGCATGTTGGGGTATCTTGCTCGTGCCGCCTCGGACAGGACAGCGCCTCGTCCACCGCTCCTCCCTCCGTGATAATCTCCATCTTCCGCTTCTTGGAGCTCACTTGTGTCCGCCGAGCTTGCTTTGCAGCGGGCACGCGCAGACGTACATCGCGAGCTGTGCCGTGGCCTATCGCACGCGCTGTGGGGCCACGAGCCGTGGACTGCGTTCTTGCAGTCCTGGTGCGAGTTAAATGTTGTTGCGAGTTAAATGTTGTTGCCAACGGGGGGTGCAATAATTTTGGCTGTTCAAAGACCACGTCGCTTTTGACGTGCTGCTCAATTGCATGTGTTGCCCGCCTTTGTCAACACCGTGAGCTAGCCGTTTCTTGTGACCTCAGGAGGAGGAGGGGGAGGATGTGGATGAGATCCCATTGCGAACGCCGCCGCTCGTGCCGGCAGGGGAGAGACACTGTGTGGCGGCATCCTTGTTTCTGACATATCAGAACAGAGTCAGAGTGAGTGATTGTACGCATGTATAGCAGGTGTGATAACATGTTGTGTTTTTTCCCCCCTGTTGCCGCCCTCAGGCCTCAAGGGGGGGGCACGATTTGTCCGCCTCAGTGTGCCCGGAGTCGAAACTGTGTATGTGACTCGGGGCGGAAATTCGGGCAGTTATTACTTGTCTCAATAATTCGGGATGCACTTCTGTGCACAAAGGTCTTGCACTTGCCGGTCTGGTGGCGCCTTCTGGCGGCTCACCGCGGCAGTGCGGGCCCCAGGCTGTGGCCTTGCCGTGTGCTGGTTCCGGGGTGCCGTGATCGTCCCACTTCTGCCTCGTGGCCGCCGGCCTGGTGGCGCCATTCGGCGCTCACCGCGGCGCGCCTCGGTTGCGAGTGCTCTGGGGAGTGTTGCGTCTCTGTGCCCAAGCCGACTTGTCGGACCGATTTCCGCCGGGCTGGTGGCGCCTTCGGGCGGCTCACCGCGGCGCGTGTGTATAGGATCTTGCAGAAACCAGTTATCCCACTAAGTGGGATAGAAGACGTGTGCACACTTGCGCATAATGTAGAGCGTGAAGGGGAACCGAGCTGTTAGACAAAAGTGTTTGACACTGCTCTCCGTTCCGATGCAACTTTGGCTCAAACCCAAACGGGTTTGTAGCCTAACCAGGGTGAACTGCCAGTATCTTCTGTGGTCCACGTGCCGGTGCATGGGAAAAAAGGCCAAGTGGCGACCTCGGACCAAACGGGCCGGGGAGCAAGTCAGAGCTAGAACCCAGTACTACACGGAGGTCCAGGAGACCGAGCAACAAGCCATAACGAGCGAGGCCAACGTAGAGGCCAACGGGAACCAGAATACCGAGCAAGAGCTAGGGCGGTTGGAACAACAGACACTTGTCTTTTCCACAGTTAAGAGCCTTGCTTTCAACCACAATGGCGTATCGACCAACGTTGATTCCACTGGCAGGCCCGCCGGGGATGGACCCGGTGGCTGGTCCGCCGAGTCCGGGCCGTCAGGAGCAGCAGGGAGCAGCGGACCGTAGCCGGTCCCCCCACATCCCGATCGCGGACGAGGCGGCCGACTTGAGCGCCCTCCTGCGCGTGTTCACGAACAGCGCGGGGCTCCTTAAGTTGCTCGAGCCGCACGCCCAGGTGCCGGAGATGCCGCTGGAGTCGATCGACGGCTGTCGCGACGAAAGTGTGGACCTCCGAGGGCCATGCTCCCAGGAGCTCGCACGTCTGATCTGGCAGTCCATCTTGCCCATCGCCGGGGGCCACGCCGACCACGACGACACCGCGCAGAACGACGTCGGCAGGAAGACGCCTAAGTGGTCCGTGCTGGTCACCCGGAAGGTCCCGCTGAAGTCGGAGGAAGCAAAGTCGGCCAAGGCACGGGCTGCCATAGACAAGGAGCTCTCTGGGCACCGTACCCGGAAAACCTGGGATGAGTCCACGGTGAGGGAATACAAGGACCTCATGCGCGACAACTCGAAGGCCGAGGTCATGACGGGCCGCATCTTCGGGATCTTGGGCGAGACCAACGCCGAAGCGGAGCATGAGGAGGATAGGAGGATGAAATTTCGTGCAGTGTTCCAGGGATCGAACATCAGAACTAAAACGGGGACGGCGGCGGTGAACTTGTACGAGGAGGTGAGCAACAGCCCGGCGTCTTTCGTCGCCATTCGGTGCACCATGGCGGTGGCTATCCTGAAGCGCCTCAGCATCACGGTGCGGGACGCGCTGCAAGCCTACCTCCAGGCTCGCATCAACGTGGACGGCAGGATCGAGACGTGGGTTGAGATGCCCAGGGAGAGGTGGCCCGACTCGTGGTTCGAGGGGGGTGACAGGAGCAAGCCACTATACGTTCGGCCCGTGTGCCTGCTCCTCCTAGCCTTGTACGGGCACCCGGAGGCAGGAGCCCTGTGGGAGAAGAAGCTCACCCAGGTATTGCTCGGACTCGGATGGCATTCGGTGCCCTCTTGGCCGGGCGTGTTCGTCCATGCCGACGGGAGCATGCTGACCGTCTACGTCGACGACCTGCCCCTGGCGGCTCTGGGGTGCAAGGCCGACGCCCATTGGGAGGCGCTGTGCAGGAGCATCGAGTTCAAGGACGAGCCGGCGCCGGTGAACAAGTTCATTGGTGCGTACTACGCCCTCGACCCTTTCGATCCGAAGCTCCCCGATGCGCCTCGCACAGTCACGACGTCGATGATCGATTACACCAGGGCGATGGTAGAGCGCTTCTGCACCGACGCCGGCCTCAGGATCACCAGGCCCGTGGACACGCCGTACATTTCAGCCGAGTCCTGGGCGCAGGACTCCGAGGAGGCAGGGAGGTTTGCAGACGTCGCGGCGTCGCACTCTGCCTCGTCTCTCTTCTTGTGCCGTGTTGGGCGGCCCGACCTGGCTGCAGCCACGCAGCGTCTGTGTAGCGGAGTGTCGCGCTGGACCACTGTCCACGACCTAGCGCTCATCCGTGTCATGACGTATGCTGCTTGCACCTCCACGCACGTCCTCAAGGGCACGCTTGCCCCGGCCGACGTGGACGATCTGTTGCTGCTGACGTACTCTGACGCCGATTGGAACGGCGACCCGATGACCAGCAAGTCCGTGACCGGATGGTGGATTGAGCTGTTCTCGCCGGCCTCTGGCCGTAGCTTCCCATTGTCTTGGGGATGTTCGCAGCAGTCGTCTACTGGAGGATCCACCGCGGAGACTGAGACAGTCGCATTCTCCCATGTCGTGCGGCGCGAGGCCATACCGATCCAGATGCTCCTGGACGAGGTCCTCCCACGCAGGATTGGGATAGCGTGCAGGGTCGACAACATGCAGACGATCCAAGCCGTGACCAAAGGATATTCGAAGCGGCTGCGCCACCTGCCGCGCACGCAGCGCGTCTGCGTCGGCATGCTGCACGAGATGTTGAACGACCGGGACCTCCAGCTGAGCATAGAGCACTGCCCCACCTTGCAGATGAAGGCCGACCTCTTCACCAAGGTCCTGAATGGCCCGAAGTTCCGAGCAGCGCTGGAGATGATCCACATGATGCCACAGGCTTGACTTCTGCGGCAGCGGTGCCAGCAGTCGCTCGGCGAGGGGGGTGTGGATGAGATCCCATTGCGAACGCCGCCGCTCGTGCCGGCAGGGGAGAGACACTGTGTGGCGGCATCCTTGTTTCTGACATATCAGAATAGAGTCAGAGTGAGTGATTGTACGCATGTATAGCAGGTGTGATAACATGTTGTGTTTTTTCCCCCCTGTTGCCGCCCTCAGGCCTCAAGGGGGGGGCACGATTTGTCCGCCTCAGTGTGCCCGGAGTCGAAACTGTGTATGTGACTCGGGGCGGAAATTCGGGCAGTTATTACTTGTCTCAAGAATTCGGGATGCACTTCTGTGCACAAAGGTCTTGCACTTGCCGGTCTGGTGGCGCCTTCTGGCGGCTCACCGCGGCAGTGCGGGCCCCAGGCTGTGGCCTTGCCGTGTGCTGGTTCCGGGGTGCCGTGATCGTCCCACTTCTGCCTCGTGGCCGCCGGCCTGGTGGCGCCATTCGGCGCTCACCGCGGCGCGCCTCGGTTGCGAGTGTTCTGGGGAGTGTTGCGTCTCTGTGCCCAAGCCGACTTGTCGGACCGATTTCCGCCGGGCTGGTGGCGCCTTCGGGCGGCTCACCGCGGCGCGTGTGTATAGGATCTTGCAGAAACCAGTTATCCCACTAAGTGGGATAGAAGACGTGTGCACACTTGCGCATAATGTAGAGCGTGAAGGGGAACCGAGCTGTTAGACAAAAGTGTTTGACACTGCTCTCCGTTCCGATGCAACTTTGGCTCAAGCCCAAACGTGTTTGTAGCCTAACCAGGGTGAACTGCCAGTATCTTCTGTGATCCACGTGCCGGTGCATGGGAAAAAAGGCCAAGTGGCGACCTCGGACCAAACGGGCCGGGGAGCAAGTCAGAGCTAGAACCCAGTACTACACGGAGGTCCAGGAGACCGAGCAACAAGCCATAACGAGCGAGGCCAACGTAGAGGCCAACGGGAACCAGAATACCGAGCAAGAGCTAGGGCGGTTGGAACAACAGACACTTGTCTTTTCCACAGGAGGACGATGAGAAGGATGAGGAGTTTTCTCCTTGGCCCTCGCGCCCCTGGGCCCTGCGCCGTTACGCCACCTGCGGGCAATACAGAACGCCGCTCCGGTTCGGGCGGACGGAGCCATTGCAGCAGCTCGTCCCCCTTGGCCTGACGACGCACGGGGCCCGGGGGGCGGGACTCTTCTGCTGTAAGCTGGCCTCGAGACGCCTGGCAGGGCCCTGCCAGCCTGATTGGGCTTCTCGCGTCGCCGGCACTTGGTACCCCGCCGCGGACGCGGGCGGCGCGACACGGCTCGACACACGGCACGGCGCGCTGCACGGCACGCCGCACGGCGGACGGCACCGCACACTGCACGGCGCCGATGTGGGAGGTGTCGGCGACCACGTGGGCGAAGTCGCAGCGCTCCTCGGGCGAAGGGGACGCTCCTCGGGCGCGGGCGGCGTCCCTCCCGCGACCCCGCTCAGCCGAATCTGGCGCGGCGGCGAAGGGCGACCGAAATGGATCCTATCCAGCCGTCTGCGACGAGGGCCCCCTGAGCCCTCCTGCCGCTGAACGAAGACTTACGGTGCATGAAGAGGAGCCGAATGAGGAGGACGCGGCGGGACAAGTGGACTTTTCAGAAGGAGCATTGCGTGGAGCAGTAGGACGGCGGGATGATGGTAATGAGGGGGAGGACACGGGGGGAGGAGGAGGAGGAGGAGGAGGAGGAGAGGAGGAGGAGGAGGAGGAGGAGTACGAGGAGGACGAGGGAGAAGGAGGGAGGAGGAGGAGGAGGAGGAGGGAGGGGTGAAGAGGGAGGAGGAGGAGGGAGGAGGGAGGAGGGAGGATGAGAATAAGAAGGAGAAAAAGAAGGATAACAAAAAGGAACAGGGAAAGGATAATCAGGGAGGAGGAGGAGGAACGAGGAGGAGGACGAGGAGGAGGAGGAGGAGGAGGACGAGGAGTAGGAGGAGGAGGAGGAGGAGGAGGAGGAGGAGGAGGAGGAGGAGGAGGAGGAGGAGGAGGAGTCGCAGCAGCATGGGGCAGGGGCAGGCGAGCAGCAGTCCAGGCCTACGCACTAAAAGGGGCACGTTAAGTGGGGAGAGGATTTTAGCGAGCCCCAGGGTATCTGATGGGAGGGCTCTTGGTCCCCGTTGGGAGGGGGGAATTTGAAGGATGGGTGGGTTGGGGGGAAGTAAGGGGAATGGGAGGAGGGAGGGAGGATTCATTGCGATCTGTCCCGGATTTCGCGGTCGAAGGAGCGGGATTTTGTCGACGCTTTGAAACTTGGAGGTGCCATCTGATCCCATCGCTTATGGCTGAGGATTCTTGGCTCCACCGCCTTGCGTCCTCGGAAACGGGGGCTGGGCATCGCCGCCAACGCATTCTCGCACCTTCTCGCAATTCTTCATGTTCCTCGAAGGGGGTCAGGCACGAGGGAAGTAAGCGGCTTGCAGAAACCAGCGTTTCCTACCGCCTCCTCTTCTTCACGTTCTCCCATACTCTCCTCCTCCATGCACCGCCTCATCCTCCTTCCTCATCCTACTCCCCCTGCCCTCCTTCCTCCAACGAGGTGGTGGAGGAGGAGGGCAAGGAGGGAGGGGTGATGGGGGGAGGTGTGGATGGACCACGTCGTCGCGGACCGGTTCCTACAGCTATGGGCGGCGCTGCTACTGCGCGATCCGCTACAGGGCCAGAGCCTCGCCGAGTTCGACTTGGATCGGCGGGCCCTCCTCCTCCTCCTCCTCGTCCTCCTCTGACTCTCTCTCTCTCTCTCTCTCTCTCTCTCCTCGCCCATGGTGTCCTCCTGACGCGTTCCTCCTCTTCCTCTTCCTCCTCCTCCTCTTCGTCGTCTTTGGAGAGGAGGAGGGGAAGGGAGACGAGAAGGAGAAGGAGGAGGACCACGACGACGCTGAGGAGGAGGATGACGCAGATGATGGCGATGATGCTGATGATGATGATGATGTTAATGATGACGATGCTGATGATGATGCTGATGCTGGCGATGATAATATATAAAGATGATGACGACAGTGGTGATGATGATGCTTGTTGTGCTGCTGATGATGACGACGATGACGAGGATGATGACGATGACGATGACGATAATGATGCTGATGATGAGTATGCAGATGTCGATGCTGATGATTTGAGGCCGCTAATGATATGATGGTGCTGGTGATGGTAATGGTGATGATGACGACGATGATTGTGATGATGATGATGCTGCTGATGATGACGATACTGATTATGCTGATGATGCGTCTGATGATGACGAGGATGATGCTGGTGACGATGATGATGAGGATGTGCATACGGATGATGTTGATGTTGGTCGTGTTGATGATGCCGATGATGCTGATGATGTTGATGATGCCGATGATGATGATGATGATGATGATGATGATGATGATGATGATGATGGTGGTGATGATGATATTGATGATACTGATGCTCATGATTATGCTGATGATGTTGCTGATGATGACTATGATTATGTTGATAACTAGTGGTACGCTGATTATGATTGTGCGGTTGATGATGACGATGATGATGCATACGGTAGGTTCGCGTCGTGTCGACCGGCGGCGACCCCGCCGCCGACGTTCAACGTTGAACGCCGACGGCGGCCCAGAATCGGTCGATGTTGAACGATCGGACGTTGCGGAGACGGCCGATCGTTCAAGGTTGAACGATCCAGCGCGGTGTCAGGAACCAACGCCAGGGTCGACACGGCACGGACCTGCAGTATGAGGATGAATCTGATGTTGATGATGTTGATGATGACGACGATGATGATGCATATGATGATGAGGAGGAGGAAGAGGAGGAGGATGAGGAGTTGGAGGATGTCGCTGATGATGCTGCTGATGATGCTGCTGATAATGATGACGATGACGATGGCGATGCTGATGATGATGATGGTGGTGATGATTCAGGTGATGATGATACTGTTGAGTTTGATGATGATGATGCTGATGATGACGATGACGAAGCCGATGATGTTGCAGATGATGTTGACAACGATGATGATGCTGATGCTGATGATGATGCTGATGCTGATGCCTTCTGATGATGATGCTGATGATGGTGATGCTGAATCTCATGATGTTGATGATACTCATTATTATGACGACGATGATGATGCTGACGATGATGATGCTGATGATGATGATGATGATGGTGATAATGACGATGCTGATGCTGCTGCTGCTGATGATGCTGCTGATGATGATAATGGTGGTGATGATGTTGATGATGATGATGACGATGATGATGATGGCGATGATGATGCTGATGATGATGATGATGAGGATGAGGATGATGCTGATGATGATGATGATGATGATGATGATGATGATGATGATGATGATGATGATGATGATGATGATGATGATGATGATGATGGTAGTGGTGGAGGAGGAGGAGGTGGAGGAGAAGGGGTATGAACGGTTGGAGGGGCACTTGGGGTGTAGGAGGGTAGGGGCAGGGGCAGGGGGAGCAGGAGGCAGTGGACGGAGGAGGGTCCGTTTATGCGAAGATAGGTTGGGGACAGGCGCCTCCCCCGGGAGCAACCGCTGCTGGGCCCAGTCCCGAACAGCGTCCGCTTCCAGGGGGAGGGTTTGCGCCAGCTGGGGCCGTGAACAGCGCTGCCCAGAAGTATCAGGGCGAGCGCGAGGAATGGGTAGCGGCTGGCCGCGGGCCCGCCTCCAGGAGGAGGAGGAGGAGGAGGATGAGGAGGAGGAGAGGGAGGGGGAGGGTGAGGGTCAGGAGGGGGAGGGGGAGGTGGAGGGGGAGGTGGAGGGGGAGGGAGAGGGGGATGACATCAATGTGCAGGTCTCCGACTTGAACACCGCAGTCAACCAATCGACACCAATGAATCGACACCGAACGTGTAATCACTTCCGATGGTTGATTTTCGGGGGACATTTTCCAGATCTTGGAGCTTATTTGGAATGACCGAAAACCATACCGTGGCATGGCGCTGGAAACAATGACGCCAGCGCTGCCGCGGGAGCACGATTCGGAACGAGCGGAAGCGTGGAAATGAGGCTAGCGCTGCAGCGGGAGCACTATCCGGAACGAGCGGTGGCCCGAGAATTAAGCCAGCGCCTTGCGAGAGCAGTATTTTAACACAAATCCAAGCGAAAACCCGTTTCCTGGAAAGCCTGCGTGTGTAAAACCAGTGCGCGGAGGGGGGCTGGCCATTTCACGGACGTCACCAGGGGAGAGAGGAGAGTAGTATTCATATAGTGAAATTGTTTGGGGGGGAGGGGGAGGGGGAGAAGGCCAGGAGGCCAGGAGGAGGATAACCAGATGCCTTGCCCCTCCTCCTCGCCACCAAAGACCTCTGTCCCCTCCGCCATTGAGGTGGTCCACCAGCCGGCAGAAGCCCTTCCCCCTGGACGGCGTCGGCGGGCCCAGTCTCGCGCGGGGGGCCGCAGGGGGAGGGGGAGGGGGGGCAGGAGGTGGAGGGATGGGGAAGGAGGGATGGAGGACGGGGAGAGGGAAAGCCAATGAGTGCAGAGATAAAGCTGAGACGGAGTGGAAGATGTCCCCCCGCATTCTAAAGCAGGGCAGCGAACAGTCTTCCAGACATCTGGATTCGGTCGAGCCCGTGGCCCTCTCGAGGAGGCAAGTTTTCGGGTTCGCCTCGTTTCTCGACAGTCCAGGCATCTTGTGTTCACGGGATGGATCATGTCGCAGCGCAGAGCGCAGAGGAGAGGGAGGGATGAGGCGGGGATTCGATGACCGAGGAGACGGGGGAAGATGAGGTGTAGGAGGTTTCCCCAGCAACAGTCATGGCATGGCCTGACCCCCTCCTCCTCCTCGTCCTCCTCCTCCTCCTCTTTCAGAAGGGCCGTGCTCCGGCGTGGGTACGGCGCGTTTCCGTGTTGGGGCCCGCCAGCCTATCCGCCGTCGGCGGAGCGAGCGCGAGCGAGCCGAGACGCTGGGATCGCTGCACATGACGTTGCTCAGCAGCAGGAGTTAGGCGGTGAAGAGTGGTCATGGGAATCGCCGCTCACGCGCCCCTAAAGGTCGACCCCGGCCCCCCGGCGGTGATGGCCCGCGTGCGGCACTCGAAATCTGGGCGCCGTGAGCAGGTCAACACCGCTGGTGGGTCGACGCCGGCCTTGAGGGGCCGCCAGGGGAGGTTCCCTCAGCCCAGCAGTTGTGGTCGTTTGTTTTTCGCTCCTGGAGGCAGGGGGAGAGTCGGTGATCGAGGGCACGGGTGTTCCCCAGGCAGTGCTTGGCCCCTTACTGCGGTTGACAGGTATTCGGATGTGCGTGGCGAGGCTTCGCATTGTGGGGGAGCGCGGGCGCCTCGTGGGCGCTCCGTGCGCTGGGGAGGAGGAGGGAGAAGGCGAGAGGAGAAGAGAGGATGAGGGATTCTGGACGGATGGACATGCTGCTGCTGCTGTTGCTGATGGTGATGGTGATGATGGTGACGGTGATGATGATGCAAGAAGTGATGCAAATGGTGATGATAGTGATGATGAAGATGATTATGATGATGATGAGGATGATGATGAGGACGATGATGAGGATGATGATGAGGATACTGATTATGAAGATGACGATGAGGATGATGATGCAAGCAGTGATGCAAATTGTGGTGATAGTGATGATGAGGATGATCCTGATTATGATGATGATGACGACGAGGATGATGATGATACTGCTGATGATGATGAGGATGGTGATGATGATGATGGTGATGATGACGATGGTGATGATGGTGATGATAATGATTATGATGATGATGATGCAAGTGGTGATGCAAATGATGATGCTGATGATGATGACGACTATACTGATGATGCAGCTGATGACATACTGCAGATGATGATGTTGATGCTGATGATGACGATTATGGTCATGCTCATGATCATGACACGATGATGGTGATAGTGATGATGCTGATTATGATGCTTGTGATAATGATGACGGCGGTGGTGATGCTGATGATGGTAATGATGATGGTGTTGATGATGATTATGATTATGATGATGCTGATTATGTTGATGATGCTGATTATGATTGTGATGATGCTGATGATGGCGATGACACTGACGACGACGATGCTGATGATGATGCTGATGATCATGATGATGGTGATGACCTTGATGATGGTGACGATGCTGATGATTAGGATGATGATCATGATAATTATGATGATGCTGACGCTGATGATGCTGATGATGAGAATGATGACGATGTGATAATGATGATGCTGATGATGATGATGAAGATACTGCTGATGATGATGATGATGATGATGCTGACGATGCTGCTGATAATGCTGATGATATGGATGAGGATGATGAGGATGAGGATGAGGATGATGAGGCTGATGCTGATGCTGATACTGATGCTGATGCTGATGATGATGATGATGATGATGATGATGATGATGATGATGATGATGATTATGATTGTGATTGTGATTGTGGTGGTGGTGGTGATAGTGGTGATGATGGTGATGATGATGACGATGATGATGACGAGGAGGAGGCGGAGGAGGAGGATGGTGAGAATACTGATGGCGGTGCTGGTGATGACGACGTTGATACCGACGACGATTATGTGCATTCTCAGGGTGATGGTAGTGGAGGGGGCGATGGTTCTCGGGGTGTGGTGGGGGATGGTTTCGCTGGTGGTGATGGTGATGATGACGATGGTGATGTTGACGGCACATCTCGTCAGGATGGCGATTGTGTTGAAGATGGTGGTGTTGTCTATGATGATGATGATGCTGATGCTGTTGCTGCTGTTGATCATATTAATGCTGCAAAGGGGGCGCAGGATGATGAGGAGGAGGATATGATGATGATGTTGATGATGCTGGTGATGATGATAATGATGATGATGATGATGATGATGATGATGATGATGATGATGATGATGATGCTGACATTGGTGATGATGATGCTGATGCTGATGATGGCGATGGTGGTGTTGGCGATGTCGATGCTGATGATGACGATGGTGATGATGATGATGCGGATGCTGCTGCTGCTGATGATGGTGGTGATGATGGTGATGGTGATTGTGATGATGACGATGATGATGACGATGGTTATGATGATGCTAATGGTAATGCTGATGCTGATGCTGATGATGTTGCTGCTGATGATGATGATGGTGATGACGATGACGATGACGGTGATGATGATGACGATGATGATGATGATGGTGATGGCGATGATGGTGATGGTGATGAGGATGAGGATGAGGATGATGATGCCTATGGTGATCATGATGCAATGAGCAGGATGAGGACGAGGATTATGTTGACGATGTTGGTGTGGATGATGAAGCGGATGGTGATGATGATGATGATGTTGATACTGATTTTTATGATGATGCTGATGGCGATGATGTTGCTGATTATGATAATGATGATGATGAGGAGGATGATGAGGATGAGGATGAGGATGAGGATGAGGACGAGGATGAAAGTGATGATTCTGATGAGGATGGTGATGATGCTGGTGATGCTGATGCTGATGCCGCTGATAATGATGATGATGCTGGTGATAATGATGATGGTGATGATGATGAGGAGGAGGATGAGGATGAGGATGAGGATGAGGATGAGGATGAGAATGATGATGATGATGATGATGATGATGATGATGATGATGATGATGATGATGATGATGATGATGATAATAATAATGATGATGATTCGGAAAAGGATGGTGATGATGCTGGTGATGCTGATGCTGATGCCGCTGATGATGATGATGATGATGATGATGATGATGATGATGATGATGATGGTGGTGGTGGTGGTGGTGATGATGATGATGAGGAGGAGGAGGAGGAGAAGGAGGAGGAGGAGAGAGGGAGGGTCAAGTCCAGACATCCGACATTGTATTTGTTCCACGAAAGATCCTTTCCCGGGACCGTTTGTTCCCGAGTTTTTTGTTTGACAGACCTGGGGGCCAGCGAGGGCCCCCAGGGGGAGAGAATCAGCAAACACCGACGACCACGTTTTTTCACACCGCCAGGATGTCAGGGCAGCAGGGGGAACGAGGGCGTCGACAGCAGTCGGGCCGCCGCCGAAGGCCGTCGAGGGCCGCCGAGGGCCTCTGAGGGCCATCGGGGCGCCGGGACGGCCGAGGCCGCCGAGCGCCTTCTGCTGGCGCCGGCGGGGCAGGAGCCGACGTTCGTGCACCTGCTCCACTGGGGGACCAGGCGGTCCACGGGGGGAAGAGTTCGGGCGGGGCCAGGACGAGGATAGATCCCGTTCCAGAGCGTTCCAGAATGCTCTCAGAGCATTCTGGAACGCTCCGACAAAGCCGCTGCGCCTGAGACATCTTTCATAGCCGCCGTATCTCAGCGATTTCGATATACCCTCATCCGATGTTATCCTCGTACTGGCTTTGTCTTAAGAGTCGGCGGCGCGCCCAGGGGGGGAGGCAGAGAGCGCGGGCTCGCTTTCTAAGCTGTCGCCGGAGCCATGGAGGGCTTCTCAGAAGGCTGGAGGGCTTCTGAGACGCCCCGCCGCCTTCTGAGGAGGCTTGCCCCCACTCTCACTTCCCCCCTCGGCGGTCCGCCGAAGGGGGAAAGAGAGGGCAGCCCTGGCATCCTCGCGTCGCGAGAAGCACTCATGGCAGAAGGTTTTTTGTAAGTCTTCGGCCTCCTCCTCCTCCTCCTCCTCCTCCTCCTCCTCCTCCCTAAGAATGAGGGGAAGCCCAAGGCTAAGGCGACCGCACGAGGAGGCTCACACACATTCAGAGAGTTCAGATGGCAAGCCTTAGCCAGAGGCTGCTGGCACTAGTCGAGCGCGGGATGGTCCCGCTGGACGCTGCCCTGAGGCAGGCTCTGCCGTCGGCTACGGCTCAGATGCCTGTGCAGACGAGGGCGGGGACCCGATCCAGGCGCCAGCAGGGAGGAGGGGAGTCGTCGATCCAGTCGTGTGACCCGCCGTTGCAGTCGAAGTCTGGTGACAACCCCACTCATGACTCTTGAGCTTGTTCAGCTTTGAATTAAGCCCCGCTCCACTCCCCCAGGCCAGAATTTGTTGTGCGCCCTCTGGGGGCCAGTCGTTACCTTTCGACCTTTTGGTTTTACTCTGAGGCGTGCAGCTGCGAGGGCTTCCTCAGTTTTGTCGGAGAGCAGGGGTGCCACAGATCGCCAGAGCAGTTATCCTGTCTGCACGGCAGGGTTGCGAAGTTCCTTGGTGGGTCCTCAGGGCGTCGTCGCAAGCAGATTGCATTGTTCGAAATTGTTATCATTTACCAGGGTTGGCCCAGGCTACTCACGAGGTGTCGATCTGACTTAATGCCCCCAGAGTTCGATTCGATTCGATTCGATGTGTCCCTCCTCCCTCCTCCCTCCTCCCTCTTCCCTCCTCCTTCTTCCTCCTCCTCCTTCTCCTCCTCCCCCTCCTCTCCCCTATTCCCCCTCTCCCCTCCTCTCCCGTCCCTCCTGCGCGCGCCACCGCAGCGGTCCGTCCCTCCGCCCGGAGGTCATCGTCTCTCTCCCTCTCCCGCCCTTCCTCCTCGCCCCGCCCCCATTCTACCGGCGCCGCCCAGGTGCCTTCTTTACCAGCCGCCCCTGGAGGGCGACCTTCGCGCCTGGTACCGGGCGCGCGCGCGGCCCCAGCCAAGGGGGGGAGGGAGGGGAGGGATGGAGGGGGTGGGGAGGGAGGGAGGGAGGGAGGGAGGGAGGCTGGGGAGGTGACACTGCCATCTTCCCGATCACCCTGCAGCCGGACACGGCCACTCTCACGACTACCACCTCGATGACGCACCCACCACCACGACCACCACCACGGCCATCACCTGCACGACGCTCGCCGTGAGCACTCCGACGAGACAGGATCGCCATCAGGACAGCCACGACCACCACCTCCCTGACTGCCCCTGCCTGCAGCTTTCGCCTCACCTCATTAATTCATGCTTCAATTCACCAACTCGGCAACACAGCGTGGCCAGGGAATTCTGTACCACGTGCGCCATGAGTGTTGTGCGCCGCAATGTGCGCCATGAGTGCCTCCAGGCTCGGCGTACGACACCAAGTACGACCTGGAAGGAAGGGATACGAGGGGAGACATGTTGCTGTAGAGCACGCGCGGGAGAAGCGTTAGTTATACGAGAGCGCTTTGGGCCGAGAGATCAGCAGATTCGTCGTGGAGGTCTCACCGCAGCAGTATCACCACCAGTATACCGCCGTGTAGCTACCGACGTCTACGAGTACGACGGCAACGGCAGGTACGAGTACGACAACTACGACAGCGACGCGGGCAACAAGCAGACCTTCGCGAGCCACCAGCTGAGCTACGAGAGCTACCAACCGAGCTATGAGGACCACGAGCTGAGCTACACGGGCAAAAGACAGAGTTTCGAGGGCCACCAGCTGCGCTCAGCTAAGGTGCGAGAGCCACTAGCAGAGCCACGAGGGCTCCCAGCAGTGCTACTGAGGCCACCAGCAAACCTGCGAGGACCACCAGCGGAGCTACGAGGGCCACCTGCCGAGCTACGATGCGAGGACCACGATCTGAACTGCGTGGGCAACGAGCAGAGCTTCGAGAGCCACTGGCGGGGCCACCGGGGCTACCAGCATAACAGCATAACTACGGGGACCGGCAGGCCTCTGCGAAAAAACAGCTCAGCTACGAGGGCCGTCTGCCGAACAAAGAGGACCACTAGCTGAGGTACACTGTCAACCACCTGCTGAGCCACCGAGGCCACCAGCTGAACTACGGGGACCACACGTTGACTTACGAAGGTTACGAGCCGGGCGACGAGGGCCACCGGCTGAGCACCTACGAGGGCCACCGGCTGAGTTTTGTTGGAGGACTTTTGGGCCGTCTTTGGGCCATCTTGGTTGACTTCGGCTAGACCACAGCTCCCTGGCGGGACTGCAGGACCGCCGAACCCTGGGACAACGTGCGTGAGCAAGGTTTCCGTTTCCTTTCTTGGGCGTTTTCGCCTTCAGGGAGGGCTTGCGGAAAAGCTTTGCGTCACCAGACGCCGGACACAGAAAGCAAGGCGCGGTGGTGAAACACGTTCCAGTTGAGGTTTTGTCGCGGTGGGCGCCGAGAGCGTTCGCCCCGCCCCCCCGCCGATTACGGCTGACGGCCAGAAGCCGTGCATCGCACGCAGAAGCAAAGACTTCATGTTGTCAGTGCGAAAGTGCGGCAACGTCGTCCGACGCATCTGTGTGGCCAGCGATTTTGCAAGGGCGCCGCTGATTCATTCGGTGCATGAAAGGGCATGCGCCTCATGCGTGAACCTTGGCTGCCCCACGCCCCGTGATTTCGGATACGTCCATTCCCCTTCCTCGCGCCTTCAGTCCTCGCCCTGCTGCCTTCCTCCATCAATTTTCTTCCGACCATCTTTCATCGCGCCCCCGTTCCCATCCCTGTGCAAACCGTGAGAACATCTCGGGTGGTCTGCAACCGTCTCGGGCACGCGTGTGTCCTCTGCGTGCCCGCGCGACTGGGGGTCGGCATCCCCGCGCACCTCGGCCAAGGGCCGCGCGCTCGCGATTGTCGAGAGGCGGTATGCCCGCGCACCTTCGGTGGGGGCGATGTGCCCGCGCATCTTGGATCGAGGGGCGGAATCCTCGCATGCGTTGAGGGGCGATCTACCCGCGCACCGTCCGGGGGGCTCAGTATGCCCGCGCGCCCAGGTTCAGGTCGGCGCACGCGCGAACCTCGCGGGCAAGACGTGCCAGCGCGCCTTCAAATGGCGGCGACGCGCCCGCGCGATTTGACAGAGGGCGATTCGCCCGCAAGCGTCGCGGAGCGATGTGCCCGCGCACCCTCAAACGTGGGGCGGTTCGCGCTTGCGCAATACTATGCACGGTGGCGCACCCGCAAACGCCGAGGGGAAGCCTGCCGCGCGCCCTCAGCGTCGACGGTCTCCCCGTTCGTTCTGGTAAATGTGGCCGCCAGATCACATCGAAGGTGCGACGTGCTGGCGCACCTTCGAACGGGGGCGATCTGCCCGCGCGCTGATTGCGGGCGGTGCACCCGAGAACACCGAGGGGCCATATGCCCGCTCGCGTTCGAAAAAGGGGCGACCTGTCCCCGCGCCTAAATCAAGGGCGGCTTGCCCGCGCACGTCGAAGAGGTTGTGTATCCGCGCCCTCAGAGGGGGCGCTCTGCTCACACGCCCTGCAACATCGCGGTAGGCCCGCAATGACTGAGGTGTGATAATGCGATCGGCGCACGCGCCATCCGAGATGGGGCGCGGTCTGCCCGCGCCCTCTGGATGCGGTGTCTTAAGTCCGCGAACATAGCAGGTGATATGCTTGCGGGCCCTCAACGCGGGGCAACTTGCCCGCGCAGCTGGGCAAATCGTGGCATGCCCGCTAAGTTCGAGGCATTCGCATGACCGCGCACCGTCCGAACGGCGGCGAGATGTCCGCGCACCTCGTTCAAGGGCGGCATGTCCGCCAGCCTGGAAGGGGGAGGGATAAGGGGGAGGGTGGGCGTGCGTGGGGCGGGGTGGGGTGGGGAGGGGGGGGGGGGGGGGGGAGGGGGGCAGGGGCGCGCCCATCCAATGGGGATGTCATGGCCACGCATGTTTCCCCGCGCAGAATGGCACAGGGCCGCCGCGCGCGTAGCGGCCATGCCCCTCGCCCATAGCGTGTTTTCCGACGCAGAGCGGCCCAGGGCCGCCGCGCGCGCGGCGGGCCTGGCCCTCGCCAATCGCTTTTTTCCCCTTGCAGAATGGCCCAGGGCCGCCGCGCGCGCGGCGGCCCTGCCCTTCGCCCCATAGCGTGTTTTTCCCACGCAGAGCGGGCCCAGGCCGCCGCGCGCGCGGCGGCCCTGCTTTCGCCCATAGCGTGTGTCCACGCAGGAATGGCCCAGGGCCGCCGCGCTCGCGGCGGCCCTGCACCCCTCCCATAGCGTGTTTTCCCGCAGAGTGGCCCAGGGCCGCCGCGCGCGCGCGGCGGCCCTGGCCCTCGCCAAGCGTGTTTCCCAGCGCAGAATGGCCCAGGGCCGCCGCGCGCGCGGCGGCCTTGCCCCTCGCCCATAGCACGTTTTCCCACGCAGAGTGGCCCAGGGCCGCCGCGCGCGCGCGGCGGCCCTGCCCTCGCCCAAGCGTGTTTTTCCCGCACCCCGGCGCGCGCGCGTGGCGGCCCTGCCCTCGCCCATAGCACGCAGAGTGTCCAGGGCCGCCGCGCGCGCGGCGGCCGTGACCACGCCCATGGCGTGTGGCCCCCTACACAGAACGGCACAGGGCCGCCGCGCGCGCGGCGGCCCTGCCCCGCCCCATGGCGCGTCCTGCGCAGAGTGGCCCAGGGCCGCCGCGCGCGCGGCGGCCGTGCTCCACGCCCATCGCGTGTTTCCCGACGCAGAATGGCCCGGGACCGCCGCGTGCGCGGCGGCCCTACCCCTCGCCCGTAGCATGTGTCCCCGCGCAAAATGGCCTAGGGCCGCCGCGCGCGCGGCGGCCTTGCCCCTTGCCCATAGCGTGTTTTCCTACGCAGCGTCGCCCAGGGCCGCCACGCGGCGGCCCTGCCCCTGGCCCATAGCGTGTTCTCCCACGCAGAGTGGCCCAGGGCCGCCGCGCGCGCGGCGGCGTGCCCCTCGCCCATAGCGTGTTTTCCAACGCAGAGTGGCACAGGGCGGCCTGGCCCCTCGCCGATAGCATGTTTCCCCACGCAGAATGGACCAGGGCCGCCGCGCGCGCGGCGGCCCTGCCCCTCGCCCATAGCGGGTTTTCCCACGCAGAGCGGCCCAGGGCCGCCGCGCGCGCGCGAGGCGGCCTTGCCCCTCGCCCATAGCGTGTTTTCACACGCAGAGTGGCCCACGGCCGCCTCGCGCGCCGCGGCCCTGCCTTTCGCCCATAGCGTGTTTTCCCATGCAGAGTGGCCCAGGGCGGCCTTGCCTTCACCCATAGCGTGTTTCCCCACGCAGGATGGCCCAGGGCCGCCGCGCGCGCGGCGGCCCTGCCCCTCGCCCATAGCGTGCTTTCCCCACGCAGAGTGGCCCAGGGCCGCCGCGCGCGCGGCGGCCCTGCCCCTCGCCCATAGCGTGTATCCCCACGCAGAGTGGCCCAGGGCCGCCGCGCGCGCGGCGGCCGTGCGCCACGCCCATAGCGTGTTTCCCACGCAGAGTGGCCCAGGGCGGCCCTGCCCCTCGCCCGTAGCGTGGTTCCCCACGCAGAGTGGCCCAGAGCCGCCGCGCGCGTGGCGGTCTTGCCACTCGCCCATAGCGTGTTTCCCACACGCAGAGAGGCCCAGGGCCGCCGCGCGCGCGGCGGCCCTGGCCCTCGCCAGTAGCGCGTTCCCCCACGCAGAATGGCCCAGGGCCGCCGCCCTGCTCCTTTGCCCATATCGTGTTTTCCAACGCAGAGTGGCCCAGGGCGGCCTTGCACCTTGCCCATGGCGTGCTTCCCCACACAGAATGGCGAGGTACGTCCCACGTAGATCACTCTGAGGTGCGTCATACGCGTTTCTTTCAACGCCCTTGTGCTTCCATTTTGTATATTTGACGTTCCTCTTCTTGCTGCGCTCTTCTGAAATCACTGCTGGGTGCTCTTTTTGCGCACTGCGGGTCCTCCAGAATGCCAGTCAGCATTGAGTGGTCCTGACTATCATCGCCACATGTATAGAAAGGGCTGGGTACGTCACAGTGTAATTTCTAACACTCGCACAGACGGGGGCAGTTTTTTTTCAAAACGGAGCTCTCGCTGGACAGTTCTTTGAGTTGTGTGCTCATGCTGTTTCTCATTCATAAATTCTCTCCAGAAGGAAGCAAGGTTTTTCCTGATGAAACGGGGCTTTCGCTTAGATGGCAGGCCCATTGTGTGCTGATCGTTCGAGGGGACGCTCTTTGTAGTGATCAAGGAGCGACTTGCCGCGGGAGGGCGCATTGCAGCATCATTGATGCATCTTGGGTGGTTTACTCTGGTCCTCCCTCTTCTTTTTTCCTTTATTTCTCCCTTCCCTGCGGGAGGAGAAGGAGGAGAACGGAGCAGTTGGATGAGGAGAAGAAACAGCATGAGGAGGGACACGAGAAGAGCGAGCAGGAACAGGAGGAGGAGGAGGACGACGACGAGAACGAGGAGGATGAAGAGGACGAGGGCGAGGACGAGGACGGCGGCAACGACGACGACGCCCTTGGAGCCCCGAAGGCCGTTGGGGACGACCCCGGCGGAGACGCGTGCCCCGCGGCGCTGGCCGCGGCTGTCTCGACAAGCTACGCCCAGGCGGCGCGGCCCCGGGGGGCGGGGGGACCGGACAGTGGCACCCCTGCGGCAGGCTTCCTTGCATGAGGCAGTCCAGAGACGGCATTATTTATTTCGAGGAGCGAAGGAGTTGCCATTTCTTCTTCGGCATATGGCGGCGGAAGGCTGGTGGAAGGCGGCGGATGCAAAGCGAGGCCGCCTCCGCTGGCGGAAGCTGGCGGAAGTTAAAGATGCGCCCCCAAGAGATGGCAACCATTTTGGGTTCAGAGTTTCCAGAGCCGGCCCCAGATTTATTCGGGGGCGGCCAAGTGGGGGGGTGAGGAGTAATGGGGGGGATATCATGCCGGGGGCCATGGTAGAGTCAAGACGCTGACATGGGGGCCACCTCGGGTTGTGGAGGGGCTCTGCTTTTCAAGCCGCTCCCTAGATGTAGGGTGTGGAACCTATTCGTGGCCGAGGTTCGCCGTGGTCTGAAGAGCACTTTTGTTTCTTATCTGGCATTCCTGATGATAACACGATGACTGCATCTCCCCAGATGGCATGGCCCCCTCTTCACCTCAACTCGTCCCATGGTTGCCCCGAACAGCGACACCCTTGCGGTTGGAGAACCCAACACATCGACGAAGCGCAAACGTGTACTAAGGCGCGTGGATTAGCGACGCGTCCCTCTTCCGTACAGAATCGTCGCGCTCCGCGTCAAGACGGGCGCGGGGGGGCATTTTCCCCCAATCCGTAGATGGGGCACTAACACGCCGGACCCGCGGATCTGTGACCCACGTTGGCGCGCGCCCCCGAAAACCGTTTTACTCGGGCCACGCTGGGGGGCCACGCTTGGGGGCCATGCGGGGGGGGGGGGGCGCCAGGAGGAGTGCGTGCGGAGGAGTGCCCGCGGAAGAGGAGCACGAGGAGGATCGGAGGGCGCCAGTGGCACGGCCGCGGCTCACCCTGGCCGTGCCCACCCTGGGCCCACAGGGTCGGAGGGTCGGTGCAAGTGGGCGTGTCGTTTTTGAGCCCTCCTGGAGGACGAGGGGGAGGCGGAGCAGCAGCAGGGAAAGGAGGAGGAAGAGGAAGAATAAGAGTAAGAGCAGGAGTATGAGGTATGAGTATGAGTATGACCATGTGACAAAGCCAACCAAAGAGCAAGAGCAGGAGGAGAAGTAGGAGTAGGAAGAAGAGGAGGAGCACGAGTAGGAGGAGCAGCAGCAGCAGGATGCGGAGGAGGAGGAGGAGGACGGACGGAGGATCCGCCTCCTGCGCTCGGCATCCGCGAGCGGCCCCCCCGCAGGCCTTCGAGTCGCGACGGCGGACGCTCTGCGCTCTTCGCCACCTCGTGGTCAGCCTGCTGGCCATCGGCGCCCACAGCGGCTCCGCCCGCGCGCAGGCCGCCCAGGACGCCGAGATGCCCGCGGGACTCAGACTTCTGACATCATTGCAGCATTGCAGACGGAGGTTCTTCATAAGGCGCAGGTTGTTCGCCGTGGTCGACTTCGGTGGGGCCCTCGTCGGCCCCGGGACCGTCAGCAAAAAACGACTCAGGACGAAGCGCTAGCCTTGGAGCAAGGGTCGGGGCTGCGGGGGCCCTTTATGGAACCAAACAAGACATCGGATGCTGGTGCCAGATCTCGGCGGCGAACTCCGAACCCTACCCTCGCCGATCAACGTGTCAGGCAACTCGATGGGCTTCGGGGGTAGGGTTCGGAACTCGTTGAACACCTGGCGAAATCCGATCCCTACCCCCGCCTCTCATCGATTCAGGAGAACCGATGGTGGGTAGTTGGTAGGGGTAGGATTCGGATGCTGCCACCTAACAAGATCTCGGACGACAGGGGGTCCAGGCGAGATGCGAGTCAGATCGGATGGGGCGGCACGGCTGCGCCGAGGCCTTGTGCGCACCATTCGGGGCCGGCCTCCGTCTCAGGGGCAGCGTTAGAGGGGGGGCAGGCTCAGGGGGTCCCTTGATCGCCGATAGTCAGAGGAAGAAAACGTACCGATACCGCTTCCCTTGACTCGATTTCGCCTATTGAGCCTCCTGGGGTCAGAACACCCAGGGAGAGTTCTAGGGAGTAGCGGTATCGGTACCTTTGTCCCCCCAGAGAGGGCCCCGAGCCAGTCCTTTCGTCCTCCCCCTTCGATCTCCGTTACAACAGTCAATCAGGGCTTCTTATCACTTTTCAATTATAGCAAATGAGGGGGGGCGGAATCGAAACTCCAGACCCATGAAACGCATTGGCAGACTATTGGAGCCTCTTATCCACGCATGTGGGGCCAAAGGATTCGGCTTCGAACTACATTCACCAGAACGTGCGTTTCACGTGACCCACGCGCAGTGGTGCGAAAACATCGTGCTCTTCGCCGCCGATCAGGTGATCCTGAGCTGCATGACAAACGGCATTACCGCTCGATTTTACTCGCATGGGCATCTGTATCTAGACGCTTCGCGTATCCAGCCCGGACGCTCGCAGGATCAGTCCTCCCCTCCAGAGTTTTGGTGTGCGACTTTGGTGGCGCCACCCAGTGCACCAGTTTGGACCAAGTTGGGCATCCATGCCAGTCGTCGCAGTGTACCGACTGGCCGCCTCCCTGGTCACATCCTGGTATGACCCTCGCGCCATTTTGGCTGCGCCCCAACTGTGGTTGGCTAATTCGATGTGCGCTCCCTTGGACCAGTTCCCTGGCAGCTGCAGCCTGCACCCCCCTCGCGCCGGTCCGCCCGCCGAAGCGCTGCCTGAGGTCGCCGGCCAGTCGGCGTTAGGTAATTCGGCTCTTGCGCGGCCCGCTCGGACCTGACTCGCCGCTGGCGCTCTCGCCTGCGGTTGCGACAAAAAATATCCCCACCAGCCCATCCAGACACGATGTCCAGGCTAGTTGAGAGGTGATCAGGGAAGTGCGGGAGCAAAGAGGGGGACGGCCGAACCGTGTGAAGGAGAGAGGAGGCGAAGGAGAAAATTGGATGGATAGATGAGGGATTAGGGAGAAGGAGGATGAATAGGATGAGGAGGAGCAGGAGGCGGAGGGGGAGGAGGAGGATGAGAAGGGATAGGAGGAGGGAGGAGGAGGAGGAAAGCAAGCAAAACGGCCAGAGGTCTCTTGGTTGCTTATCGAAGCCTCTTGGGGTATCTCTTGGGCGTCTTGGGACGTCTTGGGGGTCTCTTAGCGGTCATGGGGGGCTCTTCAGCGTCTTGGGTGCCTCGGGGGGGCCTCTTGGCAGAATAGGCTTGCTTTGCCCGGTCGTCGTACTAGTAGGCCTACTTCGTCCTACTAGTACGACCGCGGGGCGTACTAGTAGCCGTACGTAGCCGTACTCGTACGCTCGGCCGTGCATGCCGCAGGCGTACTAGTAGCTGTACGTAACCGTACTCGTACGCTCGGCCGTGCATGCCGCAGGCGTACTAGTACCCGTACGTAGCCGTACTCGTACGCTCGGCCGTGCACGCTGCAGGCGTACTAGTACCCGTACGTAGCCGTACTCGTACGCTCGGCCGTGCATGCCGCAGGCGTACTAGTACCCGTACGTAGCCGTACTCGTACGCTCGGCCGTGCACGCCGCAGGCGTACTAGTACCCGTACGTAGCCGTACTCGTACGCTCGGCCGTGCATGCCGCAGGCGTACTAGTAGCCGTACGTAGCCGTACTCGTACGCTCGGCCGTGCACGCCGCAGGCGTACTAGTAGGCCTACGTAGCCGTACTAGTACGCTCGGCCGTGCACGCCACAGGCGTACTAGTAGCCGTACGTAGCCGTACTCGTACGCTCGGCCGTGCACGCCGCAGGCGTACTAGTAGGGCTACGTAGCCGTACTAGTACGCCCGCTCCGGTCGTACTAGTACGCGTACGTGGCCCTACTCGTACGCTCGGCCGGGCACGTCGCAGTCGTCCTCGTAGCCGTACGTAGCCGTACTCGTACGCCCGACCTGGCACACCGCCGCCGTATTAGTAGGCGTACGTAGCTGTACTAGTACGGCCGTCCTTGCATTCTGCTGCCGTACTCGTAGGCCCACGTCGCCGAACTCGTACGCCCCCTCCAGTCGTACTCGTACCGGTACGTAGCCGTACTCGTACGCTCGGCCGTGCACGTCGCAGTCGTACTAGTAGCCGTACGCAGCCCCACTCGTACGCCCGAGCCGCGCACCGCCGCCGTATTCGTAGGGTCACGTCTTGGAAGCATCTTTGGCCGTCTGGAGGCCATCCTGGGCGTCTTGAAACGATGTTTCGGCGACTCGGGGCTTCTTGGACCGGCTCGGGAGCCTCTTGGGGCCTTTTTGGCTCGTCGTGGAGCTCTGTGTTGTCTCATGGCGCGTGTGCGCCGGCTGGCCGGGCGCTTCCCCTCCTGATCGACCAGACGAGGCCCCCAGGGAAGGGTTTGGGGAGAGGGGGAGCATCTGACACGCCGATGAGACCCAAGGGGTCGGCGGATTTGTCTAGTACATCGGTTTTCGCAATTGTCGGCCTTCGTAAGCCTTCAACGGGCCCTAGGATCATTAGAATGTGACTCAGGACGGAAAACCTGGGGAAGTTTTCGGGACCTCGGGAGACCCCCGGGAACCCCGTATTGAAAAATTTTGATTTTCGAATTGCGGGGCTCGGGGAGGTTTCTCGGCGGGTTCGGCCCCAGGGGGCCGCCTTCGGTTCCCGGGGCCTCTGGAAGTCGAGCCGGGTTGAAAAACTGCGATCGAGGACGTGGCCATCTGTCGAACTTCGATTCTCGATCTTCAGGGATCGGGGAGATTTTCCGCGTTTTCGGCCTCCGGGGGCGGTTTTCGGGTCTCGGGGTCGCTGCAGATCGATCTGGGGTAAGCAACTGCGTCGGGAGGGACCCCGAGAGAGATCCGGGAATTTATTTCGAGCGGATTTCGGCCGAAGTCGTCGTCGCCATCGCTGTCGCCGACGCCGTTCGTCGTCGTCGTCGTCGTCGGCGGCGTCGTCGTCGTCGTCGTCGGCGTCGGCGTAGCCGGCTCCGCCGCCGCTGCCATCCTCGGCTTCGGCGCTGCTGCGGTCGTCGTCGTCGTCGCCGTCAGCGTGGACGTCGTCGTCGTCGCTGCCGCCGCCGCCCTGTTATCCCTTTCCGTCTTCCGTCGGTCTGATTCCCGTTAGTCTTTTTTTGTTGGTTCAGTCCCTTCTTCATAGTTTTAGGTTGCTCCAGTCTCTCGTATGTCTCTTTCGCCCTTGTGCAGCCTTCGAGTTCGTTGTCTTCGGTTCACTTCCTTTCAGTTTCTTATAGTCCCTCTGAGTCTCTTTTAGTCCCTGTAGTCCCTTTTAGTTCCTTGTAGTCCCTTTGAATCCCTTTCCGCTCCTTCAGTATGATTGTAGCCTTTCAGTTTCTTTCGTGCCTTGTAGTCCCTTTTGGTTCCTTTTATTCGCTTGTAGTTTTATTGACTCCCTTTTAGTCCCTTTAGTCCCTTTTAGTGCCGTTCAGTTTCCTTCCGTCTTTTCAGCAGGGTTGTAGCCTTCAAGCTCATTTCAATCCCTGTAGTGCCTCTTAGTCCCTTGTAGTCCCTTTTCGCTCCTTGTAGTCTTTTGTACTTCGTTCAGTCCCTTTTAGTCGCTTCTAGTCCCTGTCAATCCCTTACCGTCCCTTCAGTATAATGGTCGCCTTTTGGCTCCTTTGAGGCCTTCGGTGTCTTTTTGTCCCTTTTACTTTCTTGTTAGTCCCTTTTAGTTCCTTTTGGTTCGCTTCGTCCCCTTAGTCTTTCTTGGTCCCTTGTAGTCCCTTTCAGTCTCCTTCCGTCTCTTCAGTACGATTGTCGCCTTGTAGCTCCTTTCAGTCTCTTTCGTACCATGTAATCCCTTTTGGTCCCTCTTAGTCCCTTTGAGTTTCTTGTTATCCCTTTAGTCTCTTTTCGTACCTTTGAGTCCCTTTCCGTCCCTTCAGTAGGATTGTAGCCTTTAAGCTCCTTTCAAGTCTTATAGTGCCTGTTAGTCCCTTTTAGTCCCTTTTAGTATTTTGTAGTCCATTTAGTCCCTTTTTGTCGCTTTTCGTCTTTTTCAGTCCCTTTCCGTCCGTTCAGTATAATGGTAGCGTTTTAGCTCCTTTGACGCCCTCCGGTGTCTTTTTGTCTCTTTTACTTTTGTTTTTACTCTCTTTTAGTTCCCTTTGGTTCTATCAGTCCCTTTGGTCTCTGTTAGTCCCTTTTAGTCCCTTTCAGTTCCCCTCCGTCTCTTCAGTACGATTGTCGCCTTTTAGCTGCTTTCAGTCTCTTTCGTGCCATGTGTTCCCTTTTGGTCTCTCTTAGTCCCTTCTAGTCCCTTTGAGTCCCTTTTAGTCCCTTTTAGTCCCTTTAGTCCCTTTTAGTCCCTTTAGTCCCTTGAGACCCTTTTAGTGCCTTTCAGTCCTTTCCGTCCCTTCTGTACGATTGCGGCCTTTAAGCTCTTCAGTCCCTTTGAGTCCCTTTTA